GTAGCCGGGAATCTAATAATGGTACCCTCTAATATCTCCCAGCATTCAATATCTGTGTCAATTGACAATTTTCTAAGTAGCATCCAGCTCCATGAGGAAAGAAAAAGAGAAGATCGAGGACACCAACCGAGCAGGCACATCGTAATTTGGAATCAAAGAAAGGCAAAAGAGTGAAGAGAAATAAAATACCACACTCCAACATAGCAAATAGGCCCCCAAGTGCTTTTTTTTAAAAAAAAAAACGGGTGGTAGTAGGATCCAAGAACTTGAAAGCAATATACATGCCAATAATTTGTAAAATGTCTATTTTATGATCATGTTGTCAACTTCACGTCACTTTTGCAGAGATGATTAATTGGAGGGCCCTCTCCCTAGCTACACCTAGAGCTGCCTATATATCCATCTACTGCATATGTTCATTAAAAAAAATGTTCATTTCCCTTACTTTTTTCCAATCATTTCGTGCCAAATTAGACAAGTATAGGCGAATGTACTGCCACGATATGTTGCAATGATTATCTGAAGCTCAGAGCGTATTTCATTTCACACTATTTCAGTGTCAACTCCAGCATGAGAGAACATAGCTAGCTTTCCCGTGCAATAAGTATATTTTCTTTGAAATAAATAAAATCCTACTACTAAAATAGCGAAAGAAGAAATTCGAGAATGGCTATATGGTACGCAAATTATTGTATTACCTTGTTTCAGCTAATCTTTGATTCATTGGAATCCATCGTTATTGCTTAAGCTTTACCGCAAGTCTTTCTCTCAATAACTAACAAAAACCTATATATATGTGGTTTTTTAATTTTGGTATCTGATTTTTTTGGTATGCCCGAAATTACTAAAATTCCTGATTTTTTTTCAAATTTTTTGAGACTTCAACAAGATGTATGCTTTTCTAAAATTTCTCTTTTTATTTAAATAAAATATTATCATGATTTATGACTATACATCAATTGAGTAGAAGAATATGCAACATAGACTCGGACTGCGGGGATAGCATGCACACCCCGAGCATTCGCATTAAGGTAGATGACTCATCACACAATCCGAGAAAACCCTCAAACCTTATATCCCGCCCGCACATAGGGGCTCGTTATCTATGAGTGGGCCATTGTCACAAACCTATGCTTTGGTTAACGCGGGGAGAAGTTTTTTTTTTTACCTCCGACAAAGTTTCGCTAGGCGCTAGGCGGAATCTAGGCGCTGACCCTCAGCCTAGAGCCTACTCGGGATTAATCGCGCCTAGGCGTTCCTAGGCGTTTTGGCAATATAGACATCCTACATTTAGACAATGGGCATTCACAGCAGGCAAAATCAGATCAACTCATCCATTCACATTCACAGAATCACAGGCATTCAAATCAGAGGAGAGAAGCAGGGGGATGCATTCAAAACAGAGGACATGGAGGAGAGGAGCAGGGGAGGGGCCTGACCTTGGTGCTGCGCTGCGCCGCTTAGGGATGAGGCTGTCGGCTGGGTGAGGAGACCATGGCGGCAGCTCTTTTGCAGTGGTGAGGGTGAGGAGGCCGCGCCGGGACAAGCCTCCAGCGGGGGTGAGGCAGGCGACCGGCGGGTGGAGCTTCCTCCCAAGGCCGTCAGGAGGAGAGGAGGACTAAGCGGGAGTGGCCGAGCGGCTATCTACGACCTGGAAGGCAAGAATCGAGCGGGAGCGGACCTTTTCCCTCTTCTCCTTCCCGCGCGCATCCTTTCCCGCGTCAGATGCCATAAGCGCGCTTGCTTCCGCGGCGGCCAAAAATTTCGCCCGTGAGCGGGTCGTCCGCCTACGCGCCGCGGAATCGCCGCCGAGGCGCCGATTTGCGCCGCCTAGTCGCTGCTCCCGCCTAGGACTGCGACTACACCCTAGTCTACGCGGAGGGCCGTCGATTAGCGCTTAATCGCGCCTAGGTGCGCCTAGGCGAGCACCTAGCGGAACTTTGACCTCCGGTACTGCAATTCGCCCCCGAGGGGAATCGAACCCAGGCCGCAAGGGTGCCACACCCGAAGTGCTTGACCAGCCGGTCTAGCATCTGTTGGCAATATGCAACATAGACAATAGCAAGTATTGTAAATATATTTACAATAAAGCAGTGTAATACAATTTTTTGGATCTTTCTTTCGGCCATTCCCGAAATTTTGAACCCTGTCTATGTGTATTGCCTTGTTGCAAACATCGGATCCTTGGTCTAAAAAACTAACAAAGAACTAGAGGCAGAAAGAAGTTATGACCTGTTTGGTTGGTGGAGACAGGTTTGCCAGATTTGAGCCGTTCTAGAAGGGTGACAAGGTATTTTTCCTTGGAATGAGTTGGTTCGGCAAAATAAACTACGGTACGATGTCAATTTCAGAGGACACGATCATGTTAGAACTCAATCCAAACAAAATGATAAAATCGGATTACTCCAGAATCAATCCGTGCCACAATGCAAACATGCTGTTAGTTATCCGATAACAACGACCACCAACGGAGATTCTACATGGTTGCCCCCTCATCGGCGATCTACCTTTCAATTGGCTTGCACAGAATTTAACCACGGCGCTTTTCTTGTATAACTAATTTTTGGTTGAAGCGTCAAAATCAAGTAGCACGAGAGACCTGACGTGGACGCTGAATAAGGTCAAACCAGTCCACCTTTCGTGTTGTTCCGCTCAACCACTCTGCACGCCCTTTCTGGTACGAGTGTCAGTGGTACTAATCCCTCAAGGTTTGGTGCGAACATTTGCTCCTCCTGGACATGGTCCAGTGGCGTGTGAGGTGATTAATGTCCGTGGCTTGGGATGAGGGACGCGAGAGCATCGAATTCCTGGGCATTAATATGGTTTCAATTTGGCAGCGTTGTCGGCCAAAAGTGACCCCCTAAACGCAAGCAGTAGTCCTGTTCGGTCCTTCTTGCTCCCTCTCCTTGTGCCCATCTCTTTCGAAGGTGAAGGAACAATAGTAAGAGCTCTGCCATTTTGCACGGAGCAAATATCGGCATATCAGGGCATGTATAACCCGCACACGGCTTACTGTCTGTACGATGACTACGTATACGTATGGTGGGTTGTCTGTTAATTATTTAATACCTGTACTAAACGTGATTCATGTATAACATTGTGTTGCTTGTTGATAAAAAAAGATTAAGTATAAATAAGACAACCATGGCTACAAAAGATCAAGCATAAACAAATTAGAAATATATTAAAAATAGATGGAAAGTAAAGAAAAAACAATGACAAAAAACAAAAGTATATGAAAATATCATATTGCTCTATATCTTCCTATCCTCTACCTCTGCTCACTCGTGACCGTGTGGTTCTTATCCCTGTTTTTTTTTCTCTTCCTATCTCTTCTGTATTCTCTCTAGCGTCTCCTCCATCATGGTGAGACAAAATTCCAGTGCTCGGCCTTGCTTGGCGATGAGCAGTGCGGCGAGCTCCCCGCACCAGCCTTGAAGCCGGTGATTCCTCGCTCCTCGACCTGCGTACAAGTACCGCCGACGAGCTCGCGGCCACTCACCGCCTCTGAATAGTCACTTCGCCATGAACAGCAGTGTGACCAGAAGCTGCAGGTGGCGTCGCTCATCAGAAAGAGCTACACCATCACGCCCCTGGACCTTGCCTCCCTCGACAGCGTGCGGCAGTTCGTGGACAGCTTCCGCCGCGCAGGGATGCCGCTCGACTCGCTCATCTGCAACCCTCCATCTACCGCACTCAATCCTGAGAATTTGGCACTCGGAGTCGACGATTCATACAATGTGCGGCGAAGGCGTCGGTTTGGCGTGGGAGCACGAGCCGATGTTGTCGTTTCACGAGACGACAGGCTTGCATCTCTCTTCTTTGAATGCAGTTCGCGAGGGAGCATTTTGCAAAATTTACATCATACAGAAGTCACTTGGAAGCCCGTTGTATGTGCCCGTTGTACGTGCCCTCAGAGTCTATACTAGAACCAAGCAGTGATAGTCCACTGTCCAGTTTCTTCTTCTTCGAGAACCGCAGTGGAGCCTAGGAAGTGTAACCGTGAAAAAAAAATGCAAGCCAACCGCACCGAATCCGCCAAAACCGAGGCAAACCCACCGTGCCGAGAATGGGCCAACCGACAGACCCCGACCGCAGCTAGCTTACCCGCGTGCGTCGTCCAACACGAGAGGCGCGCATGGTTCCCTCGCCTTGCCCAACCACGCCGCGCGCGGCGGCGGGGCGACGGCGGGCCGTTTCGCGGGGCCAAACCAAAGCGAGAAGGCGCGCGCGACACGTAAAAGTTTGGTTTGCCCGCGGGCAAGAGTAGCCAACAGCCGCGGACCTCTCGCCTCTGCGGTCTCGTCCGCGGCCGTGCAAGTGTGCGACGTACGTAACGTGCGCGGCATGTGACGAACATCTCCCGTTCCCGGACGGGCGATTCGGGCTGTCGGTACCCTAGAGCCGGCCGCCGTTCTGTTATGTTACTTCTATATATGCGCGGCCGCACCGCCGATCGAGAAGAGTCCACCACAAACGGAACCAAATTCGATCGATCGGCTCGGCTCTGGAAACGTGAAATTATTGGTGCCAATTGCCGAATCATCCGATTTTCTTACGGCACGTGTTCGTGGGCAGCCTAGTAGTATACACCTAGGCGTACGCGCCGGCGCGCGCGCGCGCACGAATTCAACTCATCGAGAGCCGTATTTTTTGCGTGGGCTGTGGCTCGTGGCTGTCCAAAGGACTCGTAGCGTAAGAACCTAGCAGTACGACGAAGATCGCATCAAACTGTTTCTTCATTTATGCTCCCGATCTGCGACAGATCGAAGCTGCCACGACGACTAGCTAATAGAGAGCCGTTACACATCGCCTTGACTAAAAGTTGTGTACGTCGTCTTGCGTCGCTGGCCCCTTGTTGGTACCCACGCTATGTCGACGTGCCACTCCACTGTTGCCCAGATCCAAAGCAGCGGTAATGCATGCGTCGAGTACGTTAGTACGTGGGCATTGGCACCTCCTCATCTGCGACTGCGACGAGATGCATGGGCCAGGTGGCCATGGCCAGCAACGACAGCAGGCGCCTTCGCTTCTGCTACCTGGCGACCTTCTCAGTCACTCCGCACATGCGCGAGGAAGAATCCAAGGAGAGACAGAGGAGGCGATTGACTGGTCCGCCGGTGGATCTGCTGCTCTCCATGCGCATACGGAACGTACGCCCACTGGACTGATCTCAATGCGTGCGAGTGCAGCTCCATCTGCGCTGCGCCAATGGCGTGGTGGAAAATGGAATATCGCGTCGGGGAATTTTGTATGGGGCTATGGCCATCGCTGGCGAGTCGCGGCAGCTGACACAGCACAGCGGAAAAACTAGCCGATGATTGATCTGGATCGGGCGGCAGCGGTAGCGGCTGGCGGACAGCACGAGAGGCCGCTGCTGGTGCTGGTTAAGCTGCCGGTACGGACAATTATTGCGGCTAACCCTGGCCGTACTTATTATTCCACGATCAATCATTCATTCACCTGCTGCTTGCACCAGGCTGCTGCACTGCAGGCGATCGAATCGTTCTTCGCCAATGTGATGCGCTCTGGTTAGTGATTAGAGGTGGGGTGGACTTGGGTAATCCAAAATTTAACCAGACGACCTTAGTTGTTTTGATGTGCTCTATTCGATGCACATCATTTTTTGATCGAATAAAATCACTGTTTATTGGAGATTAACCCGAAGCCTAATGTCCATTGGATTTCTTTGCCCTTGAGCGGCAGACCGGCCTTTAATCTTAAATAAGTTCCGAGTCTATGATATGGGGCCATATGTATATGGGATAATTACGTTACGTCATCTCTAAACAAATTTTAGTTAATTTCACTAAAATTTTAAAGTACGAACATGGTTTTTTAAATTATAGAGTCAGGACTTTCGATGTGGGACTTGGCCGCTCGGGCGCGCTCTGCCCTCGAGCGGTCTGCTCTGTTGCTAGTTGCTACCACGTACTACCACCGCTCCCCCAGGGCAGGAGCAGCTGCTTCGGAAAAAAGATGGATACATGGAGTTGCGCTCGTTTGGCTGACTGGTTAATTATTCATGAAGGCATGATGAAGGCATGCGGCCATGACCTCGCCCTCGTCGCCTCCGATCCTTCAGAAAGTACGTCATCATATAAAAAGGAACGAGATAGTATTGCAAAGCTGGCTCTGACCAGCATGTACATCTGTCGGGCACGTATATCATGTAGTAGTACCAAGGGCAGTCTCAATGGAATATTTATTATGATTTCTATCTATCTTAATTAGGTGGATTGCTGAGGTGCCACTAGAGTTAATTAGGAAAGAGATTGCAAAAAAAAGAAATCGTTTCTTCCTCACAAATCGACGTCCTCGCGCGGTTCAAGGCGTGAAGAAACCGGCAAAACAGCGTTGGGAGGACTCTGCTCATCTCTATCCTCTTTCTTCCGGATCCTGTGCGTGCGATGCCTAGCCGGTGCTGCGGAGGAGCTGACCGGCCGCACCGGAGCGACGGTGACGCCGCGGCCGCGCGCTCAAGCCAGCCGCGTCGCGGGAGCCCATCCCCTCGGACGCCGCCGCCGTATGTTTGCAGGGCCATGCCCCTGCGCTATCTCGCTGAGCCTGGAGAACTCCGACGCAAAGCTCATCCTTGCTGCGCCGCCCATGGACGCGACAGACGTGGAGGTCGCTGGGTTCGACTTCGGCGCCGGCAGACTTCGCAGCGTCGTCGCCCAAGGCCACCGCCTGCTGAGCTTGGGCGTGGCCGCTCGGCGCCGCGGGCCGCGTAACTCTGGCGTGTCCCGCGTGGCGCCGCCGCCCGCGATCTCGCGCATGGATGCCTGCTTGCCGGCCGCCTGCTTGCTGCCCACGCCCGCGTGGACAACAAAGACAAGCAAGCGCAGGCATAGCAGCCCGATTCGATACGATCTTGGATCTTCTCATCCGCCATTCCTTTAGTATCAGATGCAAACGAAGAGGAGAAATCCAGTTCCAAGCAACGGAAGCGAGGAGCAGAGGACTGGACAGAAAATAAAAATATAAAATGCACAGAGGATCCAGAGATAGGAGAGAAGCACACGGTAAATGATCGGCCAGATTTTTGTATACACACTAGGGTCCAGTTTAGTTTCAGAAAATTTTACCAAATTTTTCAGATTCCTCGCACATGAATGCCTGCTGACGCCATACGCGAAAGATTAAATATAAATAAAAAGAAAACTAATTACAAGCAAGCTTTAGACAAAATTCGATTCGATACGATCTTAATCTTTTCATCCCGTTGCTTGATTTCAGCCATTCCTTTAGTTCCAGATAACGAAGAGGAGAAAAAAGTCCAAGCAACGGAAGCGAGGAGCAGAGGATTGGACAGAAAATAAAAATTTGCACTGAGGATCCATAGGAGAGAAAACACGGGCCCTACACACTAGATAGAAAAGTTGCATTAGAAAGAATGGTTTCTTGTTACGATATCTATAAACTACTGATGATTTTTTACTGCCCTAATGCACAAGGCCTCGCGCTCGTGGGAATAAAGGGCAATATGCATTCGAGGCATTTAATTCGACCAGGGGTATTTTTTATTTTGCATTACTAAGCAGGGTACAAATTTTGTTTTACTTTTAACGAAGATGGTAAAACAATATAGCTATGTATAATGTCTGTTCATGGACATTGGCACAATAAATAGACGGATATGGTACAACACAATAATTTGCAAGGGAAAAAATATTGAGAAACATAGGCACAATAAGTGGACATATATAGTACTCCATCCGTTCCAATTTTATAAGACGTTTTGGCTTTTCTGGATCCATTGATTTTACTATATATCTAAAATATCAAAACGTCTTATAATTTGAAACGGAGAAAGTAGTATAACACAATAGTCTACAAGAAAATTGGATTGTGTCTATATCTATTAGTTGTAAGAATCTAAAATGGTATCTATATTAAGAAACAAATGAACAATAAAAGGACATATATAGCATAAATAATAGCTACAAGAAATTAAAATAATATCTATATCTGTTAGCTATAAAATAAAAATATGTACAATAAATGTCAAATATCTATATCTACATCTATTTGTTGCAAAAGATAGATACACTTCGTGGAGTCAAGCTCTTTTGAAGTTTGACGAAGTATAAAGAAAATATTATATCTCTAAAAAAGCACATCATAGAAGTATATTCCACAACATATCTAATGATATTTATTACCAATCATATATTTTAGTACTTTTTATATATATTTGGTTAATTTAGAAAAAAAATGAATTTTGAGAAGGAAGATATGTACTTATTTTGTGGGGTATCTATTATCGGCAGCTACGTGCTTTTATTTTAAAATTTTAACCTCCGCAAAGCAACAAATCTCACACGATCACATCGTTGGGCCTCTTGTTCCTCCTCCTTGCCCCTTTCAGTCCTTGTCCATGTCCATTGCCATTTGCAAACAATTCACCGCCATGACTTCCATGGCCCCCACACGTACGATGGCTAGTACTGGAGTACCTCCATTTCACGATGGCATCCATTCACAATTGCAGTAATCCCCTCTCCCATTGTTGCTCCATCTCTCTATTTATTTAATCTAAAATTTAAAACCGGTTCAAATAGACGACCCTACTCTACTCCTCCATAAAAGCCACTCCTCTCTCGCTCACTCTCTATTTCTGCTCTCACCCTCACCCTCCTCTGTTCGCCACTTTATACCGCCCGCCCACCACACCACTCCTCGTTCCTCTCTGCTTCATCCTCCGCTTTCCCCTGCGCCAGGCCGCCCCGCCCGCCCAGAACGACATCCTCCATCCCCAGTCCCCTCCGATGGGGAACCCGCCGGAGCTGTACCACAAGATCCTCAACATCCCCAAGGACACCTCGCCGCAGGAAATCCGCGCCGCGTACAAGAACCTCGTCAAGAAATGGCACCCCGACAAGCACCCGCCGTCGTCCAAGGCCGAGGCCGAGGCTCGCTTCAAGGCCATCAGCGAGGCCTACGAGGTGAGCGCGAGTGGGCCGACGGCGTTTCCATCCCCTGCCGTGCCGTGCGCGCGTTCCTGTGAATTGTGCATTGCGCCTTGCCTTGCCGTGTCGTGATGTGTCCCTTTCTCGCGCAGGCGCTCCTGGACCAGCAGGAGAACAGGGCCGTGTTCGGGCTGTGCAACGACGGCCGGGCCGGTGAGAGGGCGGGCGGCGCGTTCGGCGGCAGCGGAGGCCTCGGCGCCGGCGTCGGGCCGCGCATGGAGAGGACGCGCAGCGACGATTTCTGCACGAGGAGCGCGCCCGGCACGCCGGCGAGGGAGTTCAAGAAGGTGTACAGCTCCGGCAACTCCGGCGGGCGCCGCGCTTTCGCCGAGTTCTCCAGCTCCATCATGCGCAAGGCGCCGCCGCTGGAGCGCAAGCTCGAGTGCACCCTCGAGGAGCTCTGCCGCGGCTGCAAGAAGGAGGTCAAGTTCACCCGCGACGTTGTCACCAAGAACGGGTACTTGCTTTCTCCTCTGTCGGTTTTCCTCTGCCTATTGGACAAGATTGATGCAAAACCTTGCTAGAAATGAAATCCGGTGAGCCGTCGCTCGTCAGTAGATTATTTTTGTTTTCAAAACAGCAAAGTAGAGAATTTAATCGAAGAAGGGGCTTGTGTCGATGTGGATTCAGATTTTAACAGTGAATCGATGCTTAGAAAATTGAGGTTAGGCAAGAATTCAGAGCTCGCTCTGATGGCGACAGACATTCCACTTCGTGTTGTGGCACCCCCAACCCCCAATTTGCCGCACTGTTCGGTAGCTCTCGATGAACAGTGCACCAGCACAATCACTTTCTGCCTTTTTTTTTCAAGGTTATATGGCGCGAGCACTAGTATTTTTACAGTGGTGGTCGGGTCACTGCTTTTGTACCACCACCTTGCATTTGTCAGTGGAATATTTAGCTAGCTTTGGCCTTTGGAACATAGGGCGTGAAACCTTTTTACGCGAGTGGCCCTTACCTTTGGTGTGTGTGACCCCTCTTTCCCCTTGCAGGTATCTATGCTATTCTTGCAAGATTATCCTACCTAACACAAGCTCACGATAACAATGATTCCCAACGCGGTTAGTACAGCTAGGGATCCTATCTCCACAAGATAATAATCCTGAGGCCCCAAGATGCTTCCTTCGCCACATATGCGTGTGCATGTTTGTTGGAGCCTTTTTAATACCCCCGTTTTGGATGTATCATCGAGCGGAGAGGAGTGTTCCTTTTGAGCGATGGGCTGTATTCATAATTCTTTTACATGTGAGGGTGGTGGCCTAGGTGGTTTTCAGGGACAGTGACTCCTGAGCATCCCTCCTCCTTGTACTCACTCTTGGACGTTTACAAGAGACTAGAGTATTGCATATTTGGTGGCACTTCTTGAGCTATAGATTAATGTCTCGAAGTGGTTTAATTGGGCAGGTCAATCGTCAAGAAGGAGGTGACGCAGATGGTGCTGGTGAAGCCAGGGTGGAAGAAAGGAAAGCAGATCGTGTTCGAAGGCCTGGGGGACGAGCGGCCAGGGTGCCTCCCCGCCGACGCCATCTTCACGGTGTCGGAGAAGAAGCACCCGACGTTCAAGCGGGTGGGCAACGACCTGGTGCTCAAGGCGGAGGTGCCGCTGGTGAGCGCGCTCACGGGCTGGTCCTTCTCGTTCCGGCTCCTCAGCGGCAAGAAGGTGAGCTGCGCGTTCCACGATGAGATCATCTGCCCCGGGTACGAGAAGGTGATCAGCGGCGAAGGCATGCCGATCCCCGAGCACAAGGGCGCGCGCGGCGACCTGAAGGTGAAGTTCGAGATCGTCTTCCCCAAGGAGCTCACCGACGAACAGCGCGCCGGCCTCGCCGAGATCCTCAGAGGGTCCTGCTGATCGTGATCGATCGGTGGAGCAGTGGAGCTCGCGGTGGCGCCGGGTCGGTCCAAGCTAGCCCAAGCGTATCAAGTTTTCGTGGCCGTGGCCGTCAGTCCGTGTGTTAATATAGTCATCATAGCGCGTGAGCGAGTGAGTACATAAAGAGAGAGAGGCGTCGTTGTACATACAGGTCGTTTATATATATGATAAAAATATATGGAACGTGAGCAAGCTTTTGTGTACTAGTTGTGTGCCTACATACCCCCACACGCTCGTGGCATGAGCTGGATGTGTTTGTTGCGATGAGAATCGGAGATCTTCTCGCCGCCCTTTTCTTTCTTTCTCTGTCCTGATCGACAGACCTGCCGTCTCGTGTCTGGTCTGATTAACCATCTCGAAATGCATTGTACTACTAGTACTGGCATACCAAATGCCACCTTCACCTGCTGCCTGGCAGCTTGGCAGGAAGTTGGTGCAGTGCCGAACTGCCGGTTGTCGCATCGATCACCTGCCGATCCAGATGTTTTCGCCTCCGCTTTGTGCCTTTTTTGCACGGGCTTTTGTGCTAATTACAGGTTCCTGCTGATGGTACCTCAAGGGATTCAACAAAGGAGGATTACCCGCGGGAGTCGACGAGTCCATCGCAGCTACCATGCACCGCTGCGTGCGCTGATGGGCCATGCATGTCCTGGGCCAGCGTCACAGCGGGCCAGCGAGCGAGGCCTGCCGGCGCCGGATGCGGAGCAGAAGAAGGAAATCAGATTACCTGGACCACGCCACGCACAAACGACATGGAATGGAACCCGCTCGCGTACTCGAGTGGAAGTGCGGGAATTGAATGCAATGATCCCTCAGTTGTTGGATCGCGAAGCGGAGGAGGAGGAGGAGCTGGAAGTAGTTGGCGTGCCGCCGGTGTGCTTGGGCCCCCGCTGTTCCTTGATGAGAAAGCACAACCAAACCGATCCTGTTGCGCGCAGGGGCGGTCGTAGTACCAGTACGTGGTGGCTCCATGCCAATTGGCGTTTGGTAGTACTCCTAGGCGGCAAAGCAACTTGGTGTTGGTGCGCTGCTGCAACAGCTAGTGGGCTCTGCTGCTGTCTGCTGCCTCTGCCTGCCTGCAGCACCAACGGCGTAGGGTCAACCCAACCAGCTATCATCATATGCCTCAATGCCTGGGGTCGGTCACGTACATTTACATCTCGCTCCAGCAATTTCAGCAGGATGGATGCATGCACATGCATGATCAATTCATTCCGCCGTGACTGTTTGTCTGTATGTAACGGCGGCGTTGCAGAGTTACTTACAGCCGATCGATGCCTAACGTGTAATTAATCTGATTATCTGAACAAGTTACAAACTCTTTGTTTTGTGTCCGTCGAACGCCGCCGCGACGGCCAAGAAAAAAAAGGTCAGTAGTGCATGACCGTCGACGACATGTTGAGCAGCGGCGCGAGCGAGTCGGGCGCGAACTTCCTCGCGAACAGGTAGCAGGTGGACGTCGGGCGCGAGTTGTACGCGCAGGGCTCGGCGCTGGTCCGGATGCTCCGCACGAGCTCCGGCGTGGCGTCCCTGGCGCCGTACGTCACCGGGTGGGACCTCCCCGCGCGCCACTCCACGCGCGTGACGGTGCGGTTCGAGTTGCGCATGCCGTGCCGCAGGGTCACGTACGTCTGCACGTAGTGCTCGTCGGGGTAGCACGACGGCCGGCAGTGCCGCCGGAACAGCGGGTAGTACCTGGTGTCCGCCAGCACGCTCGTGGCGAGGTCGCGGCTGAGCTCCAGCCACTGGGACCCCTTCCGCCACTGCCGCAGCGTGATGTCGGGCGCCATGCTCCGGCTGTACCGGTTCCGGCAGCCCCGGTCGTTCCGGTAGTAGGACTCCACGAAGCTGTGCCGCGACCCCACCAGGTAGTCGTACACCGTCGTGAAGTTGTGCACCGGGATGCAGCTCTCCGAGAGGAGCACGAACCGCTCGTTGGAGAAGTCGAGCAGCGCGTTCGCCAGCAGCCGCTTCTCGGCGTCCACCAGCGTCACGGAGCCCCATTCGGTTTCCTGAAAATCGGCAGGACAGACGGCATTCGTCAGACGGAGCGATCGATCGTGAGCTGAAAGAAGTGTGTCTCGATCGATCTATCGAGCAAGCATAGCATCTATCATGCAGCATGCGAGCGACAATCACTAACCTGGCTGGGGATCTGCCTGCCGTAGAACGGCGAGTCCTCGGAGACGTTGATCGCCACGCCGGGCGGCGAGTGGACGTAGATGGAGAAGCGGTCCTCGTGGCCGCCGCGGAAGAAGCGCTCCCAGAGCGGCGCCAGCGGCAGGACGCCGTGGCCGGCCAGGAACATGAAGGCCACCTTGGGCACGCGCTCGAACGGGTACCTGCTGGCGGCGGCCGGCACCAGCGTGGCGCGCCAGAACAGCTCCTCGTCCGTCATGTCGTGCATGAGGCGCGTCGGGGCCACGAATTCTTCGAACCCGGGGTCCAGGTCGGGCCGGCAGCAGATGCCGCCGCCGCTGCCCTGGAACCCGATGCTCCTCGTGACGATGCTTTCCTGGGACCGGCGGATCCCGGCAGACACCCAGAGGCCGGCGACGACGCCGAGCGCGAAGAGCACAAGGAACGCGACCACCTTGGCGAGGCCGGTGATGGGCTCGTTCCTCGTGAGCATCAGTTTGAAATCGTCAAGCGCGCCCTTCATGCCCTTGTCGTGGAGGAACACAACAAGCGCATACGTCCGTCGTCCGTAGTTGTACGACGATGAGTTGTTGCAGTTGCTAAACGGCAAACGGTATTACGGACACGAGCGCATGCAGCTGGGGTGACATGGATGAGGGAGAAGGGAGATTTAAGCTCTGCGCAGATGGCCGCGATCCATGGCTTGCGAGATTGGCCAACCTACGATACCAGGATGAACGAGCACTCCAGCCTACAGTTTCTGATTCTCTGAGCGTCCCTTCTTCACGAGGAAGGCATGCATGGAGAGGGCAGCAGAAAAGTATAGTCCGATCGATATCTCAGACAATTGGAAAAAAAAAAGTGGAGATATTCAGTTATGATCAGATCGAGGGAATAGGAATAAAACAAGCCGGGAAGAAAGAGATCGAGGGAGATTAGGAAAAGGAGATGAGTCCGGCGCATGTCTGAGCCCAAGAAGTACGCTGGAAAGTACCAAAACATGGATGCAAAGGCGATCGGTTTTATGAGAGATACGAGGAAGAGACAGATAGCGTTCTTGGGAATGTCGGCATTGATCGGGTATGTACAACAAGCTGTCCAACAACTCAGGGGATGAAAGTTAATACCGAGGTCAGGCATAGGAATCTACCATCGATCAGATCGGATCGTGAATGTTGAAGACTTGTAGTCGCAATCAACAAACCAAAAGAACGCGTATCTCAATAGCTTATCTCAAAATATAAAGGAGTCCATACCACACATGGATGCTCTAGATTTCAAACACTTTCATGCTTCCAAATTTAAGGTCCATGGTTTAGATTAGATATAATCTTGTGAAAACAAATCAAGTGAATAGTGATATGGTCGATTGGTTTACATCATCTCTCCTACATGACATGTCTCATTGGTCTAAAGTTTAGTTGGTTAAAGTTGAAGACTAAGGGTTGGTTTGGCACAACTTCGGCTCTAGCTCCCACACGCTCTCATCCACAACATGCCGTCTGGATCGAACGTCGGGTAGCTTCCCATGTACGAGTACAAGGATCAAACGGTTGGAAGCCGCGTGTCGATAAACAGCAAAACACACAGTTGCCTGTTAGCATTCCCAAAAACAAATAAGAGAATAGTAGGATTATTATGTCCTAAGGAGTACATTGCAAAGGGAGACACATTTCCACGAGAGCCAAAAAAAATCAATGCGATAAGAAAAACAAGATGTTTTGAGTTCGCCAGCAACATGCTGTCGAGCCACATTATGTTATAATATAGGCATGATTTACACAATGTATTAAAGCAAGCTTGTACAAACAAGAGTAAAACACATAATTCAAGTACAAGTTCTAAATCAAAGGAAGGAAATTCAGATCACGATAGCTAACTTCATCATAAATTCATCTTTTTGAACGCAATGGCAGGAGCTCTGTCTTTCAATTAAGAGAGAAAAATAGAAGTTTATGTACATGTGGAGAGGGCACACCCCCCTTGGAGAGAAAAAAGCTATAGACCAGGAAATTGATTACAACTTTTCTTTGTTGATTACCCCTCCAAGTTAATGCCCTCTTCCTTTGTTCAATATCCTCTTTGACTCTTGAAGCCGCTTGCATTGTCGATTCGTGAACATTGTTGAAGATTCTTCTATTCCTCTCCTTCCATAGGTCCCATAATGTGAAGATCACCATTCCGTTGAACCGTTTTCTTTCCCCCTTGGTTATCTTGGTTTCGTCCTCCTCCCACCATGAGATTAAATGGACTGGTTCCTGAGATGGCAGGATCAATTGGGCATCGAAGTGCTCCTAGGATAGAACGAGGCTCCATACTGCTTTGGCGAATGGGCAAAGTAGTGACAAGTGCAGTCCTGTCTCAAGCTGTCCGTTGCACAAAGCGCAGTGGTCTTGATGATGCCATCCTCTCTTCTGCAGGTTATTCGTCGTGAGGATTTTTTTCTCACCAGAATACAGCCGAACACTTTGCACTTGTTCTCTGTATGGGCTTTCCATATGAGGTCACTTCAGAAGCCCCCATAGGAACCTTTGAATTGGATCTTATAAGCTGATCTGGTGGAGTAAGTGACGTTAGTTGTCCATCTCTAGACGATGGAGTCTCGTACGCCCTATGTGAGGTGGATGTTTTGGATTCTGATCCACAAGGAGACAAATTCCTCAACTTGGACAGCGGTGGTGATCCGGCCATTTAGCGATAGAATCCAGCTATTGTTTCGAAGTTCTAGCTTGACTGATATGTTTTTCCTTTTGATTAGCTTGAATAAGTGGGGCGCAAGATGTCTTGGGGTCTCACCATCCAACCAATTGCTATGCCAGAAGCGTGCCTTTTCGCCATCACCAATTGTTACCTTTGTTGATATCATAAATTCCTCTTTCAAATTGCTTTGCCTTGTGATGCGGTGCATTGCAAGTGTTCTCATCAACTACCCGCTTAATGTGGGTTGGACACCAGCAAATCATCCCTACAAATCTGTACACATTTGATGTCATGAGCTCCTCACAAACTAATAAAAACTAAAGTTAAACTTAAAAAAGGAAAAAATCAGCACGGATAAAAGAAAAGGAGGCATAAAAAGGTACATGCTAGCTTCTCAGATTCCAAAAATATGATAAATCATAAGGTTATGCAATAGTAGATTGTTTTCCTTCTCCTATCAAATTCAGCAACCACAAAAGAGGGCAGTTGCAGGGATAGAGAGTAAAAGATGTTATAATTTAATATTCTTCATGTTCTAAAGCTTGAAATGCAGGCTAGATTCTCAAATCAGCAACCATAAATGAGCTTCATATTTCCCACTCCATCTATGCCTGCACAAATTGATGATACTTTGACAAATCTGCCCCAATATGCTTAGCAGACAAGGTGTATTTAATTAATATAAGATACCAAAATGACAAACCAATTGCATTGTTTCGTCTCCTCATATCTATATCAATTCTCCGTATCTATAGGCCCACTCTACCGAGGGGTGACCCTACCTACATAACAATCCACTTGCACTTTCGTACTCGCTTCGCATAAAACAGTTAACCGAAGAGTTACTACGCGTTCTTGGGTTGACTATTTAAGTTGGTTCGGCGAAATCAGAAGCCACGGCATGTAGTAAACTTCGCCGCTACAGTGTCTTCTGCACTTACAGTATCCTGGTGCTACAGTATCGAATTCGGTCCGGGCCAGCTTGGCCCAATGGGCTGGGTCCCACAATGTCTTAGCGGTGGACTCCGATCGGGACGGCCGCCTGCACTTGCCTCCTCCTCCCAGATTGTGGCAGGAGCATTGGGGCCTGCCTGAGGGAGCTATGCCGGGCGGAGCGGCCGCGTGTGGGACGGTTGCCAGGCAGCCGAACGGCGCGGCGGTGTGTCGAAGCAGGGCGGCGTGCGCGACCGGGCGAGACGGGGAGAGGCGGGGGCCGGGCGACATGGCGGCCAGGCGGCGTGGCGGAGCGGTGCATGGGGAGGCAGAGGGCCAGAGGCACGCTGAAGCACCGCGCTTAGTTGTAGCGTACGTATACGTATATGATCCCACGCGTGGGAATAGGACGGGACGGTTTCCTCGGCGGGATCCAACGGCATGCAGTACGGGACAGACACGGAGTCCCTGGCTCATGGCACGCGCAGACCCTTGGTATTTAAAGGGTGGCAAGAGGGGGGCCAGGCCGCTGCTAACTTGGCGCCGCCAACTCCTCCGCACCTCTCCACCAAATCACACACTTTACCAGTTTGCCTTGCGAATTCCCGGGACTCCCACCGCGCACGTCGGTGGCCTATTCTCCTCTCGCTCGTCGTCGTCTTGGCAAGTGTTGGGCGCGGCCGGGTGGCGCGGATGGATAATGCTGATCCATCAGATTCTCTCCGTTTGGCCGCGTGAGACGGATCGAGCTCACGAGGCGCGCGTCCCGGTAGGATCAGACGACGGCGAGCTCACGAGCAGGCGCGCGTCCCGGTAGGACCAGACGACGGCGAGGAGGAGACTAGGATTGGATGCTACGCGCGGAGGTGTATCGGTGAGTTTCCATCTATCGATCAATTCATCGCGGCTAACATAATCTACTCCGCTTTGGTAATTTGGTATTAGATAAGATTGGATTGGTCGTCTGTCGTCGATACAAAACCGCGTTTCTCAGAGTGGCCAGCACAACTACGCAGTTTCAGTCACAAACTGATACGACGAGCGACGCGCATTACATTGCCATCTGAAAACTGCATGCATGGAATCTTAGATCATGTGTTCTTTTCTTGTTTGTTTCCTGAAAAATATTTTGCCTGATTCCAATGAGACGCCGAAACGCTGTTTCTCAAGAAAAACATAACAGCCATATATACCATGTTTGAGCACTAATCTTCTTCTTCTTCTTTTTCATCACAGTATGAAGAACACACAACCTACTTGACTATAAGAAGAGGCAGATAGCAAAGGAAATTACTTCGCTTAATTGGAGGTGAGAAACCATGGCACCTACGGCTGGAAAAGAAAGTGGGTTGGACGGGGCCGAGAGCTCCTGCACGACGCCGTTGGCGACGCCAACGGCGACACCAATTGCAACTCCGATGTCGACGAGGTCGGTGAAGTGGGAGAAGGACGTCGAGGATGCGGCTGGCGCTCTGCAGCGGCCACTGCTTTACCAGCGCGGCACCAACACGACGTCGCAGATGGCCATCGTCGGCGCCAACACCTGCCCCATTGAGAGCCTCGATTACGAGTATGCATGCATGCCCTTGTGTTTCCACATACTCTATTTCTCATATATCCTTACTGCTACAGGGTTACTTATTACTTCGAGTACTATTGATGTCATTATATTGTTTGAGTTTATTAATCGTGGACGTTTCAGCCCTAGACATATTTCTGAATTTGATGTCTGATGACTGTAACATAAATGTAGTGGTGAATCCGTATAACATCACGTCATACATTTTCACTGATGATTTCAGAATTGTGGAGAATGAAGTTTACAACCAAGACTGGAGATCAAGAGGGAAACTTCAGATCTTCCAATACCAGGTCCTTAAATGGGTCCTGGCACTTTTTGTAGGTGTAGTCGTTGGCCTAGTTGGATTCTTCAGCAACATTGCTGTCGAAAACATCGCCGGGTTCAAGTTGCTCCTGACGGGCGATCTCATGCTCGAGAACCGGTACGGATCTCGCTTACTACAAGTTACAATGCCAAACTCTTGCTATTTTCTTCTTCATTTTGCTTAATTAACATTGCTTGGCGCTTCAGGTACCTCGCAGCTTTTGTGCTATACATCGGTTGCAATGCAATGTTGGCTGCTGCGGCTGCAGCGTTGTGCGCTTACATTGCCCCAGCAGCAGCCGGGTCTGGCATCCCTGAGGTGAAGGCGTATCTGAATGGCGTCGATGCGCACTCGATTTTGGCGCCTAGTACCCTCTTAGTGAAGGTGGTGCCCTGAAACTTTCAGGCTGTGGTGGCTCTAAGTTGTTTTGATATTGCTGTCTTGATGTGCATCTGATTATGTTATTACTGCAAAATGCAGATTTTAGGCTCAGTATTAGGGGTGTCTGCTGGATTTGTGCTGGGCAAGGAAGGCCCTATGGTGCATACCGGCGCTTGTGTTGCCTCCTTGCTCGGGCAAGGGGGGTCCCGGAAGTATGGCCTCACTTGGAACTGGATCAGGTACTTCAAGAATGATCTGGACCGAAGGGATCTCATCACCTGCGGAGCTGCAGCTGGTGTGGCGGCGGCCTTCCGTGCCCCGGTTGGAGGCGTGCTCTTTGCGCTTGAAGAAGTTACATCATGGTAATCTATCTAATATTCCTCCTCCCTGGAAAGTCGAAACTGAAACCAACATGTTGGAGTGCGGGCAGTGCATCATCTCACATGGTTTGCCCTCGCAATCAATCTCTTGTCAGGTGGCGGAGCGCTCTTCTCTGGAGGACCTTCTCCACGACAGCAGTGGTGACAATGGTGCTGCACGCGCTAATCACCTACTGCCGTGGCGGCCACTGTGGCTTGTTTGGCAAAGGAGGGCTGATCATGTTCGATCTCGGCTCACGGCAAGTGACCTACACCGTAACGGACCTTGCCGCGGTCGTGTTGCTCGGCGTCCTCGGCGGTCTGCTTGGTGCCCTTTTCAACTTCCTCGTCGACCGGGTCCTTCGCGTATATAGCCTCGTCAACGAGTAAGTGCCAATGTGCCATCTGATGGTGAGCGTCTCACTCTACAGCAGTTTCATAGAACACTGACCACTGGGCGCGTTCATATTTTCAGGAAGGGCGCGTGCTACAAGATCGTCCTGACGGTGACCATCTCGGTGATCACTTCGTGCTGCACCTTCGGCCTGCCATGGCTGACGACGTGCACCCCCTGCCCGCCCGAGCTCGCCAGGACGAAGTGCCCGACCATCGGCCGCTCTGGCAATTTCAAGAACTTCCAGTGCCCGCCGGGTCACTACAACGCGCTGGCGTCCCTCTTCTTCAACACCAACGACGACGCCATCCGCAACCTCTTCAGCGCCGGGTACGACTTCAGGGAGTTCGGCGTGTCGACGCTCCTCATCTTCTTCACCACGGTGTACACCCTGGGCCTGCTCACCTACGGCGTGGCCGTGCCGTCGGGCCTCTTCATCCCCGTCATCCTGGCGGGCGCCTCGTTCGGCCGCCTGGTCGGCACGCTGCTGGGCTCGGTGAGCGGCCTCGACCCGGGTCTCTTCGCGCTGCTCGGCGCCGCGTCCTTCCTCGGCGGGACGATGCGGATGACGGTGTCGGTGTGCGTCATCCTGCTGGAGCTCACCAACGACCTGCTCCTGCTGCCGCTCATCATGCTCGTGCTGCTCATCGCCAAGACGGTGGCGGACTGCTTCAACAAGGGTGTGTACGAGCAGATCGTGCGCATGAAGGGGCTCCCTTACCTGGAGGTGCACGCGGAGCCGTGCACGCGGAGCCTGGTGGCCGGCGACGTGGTGTCCGGCCCGCTCGTCACCTTCTCCAGCGTCGAGCGCGTGGGCGCCGTCGTCGAGACGCTGAGGAGCACGGGCCACAACGGGTTCCCCGTGATCGAGGACCCGCCGTTCGCGCCGGCGCCGGAGCTGTGCGGCCTCGTCCTGCGCTCCCACCTGCTGGTGCTGCTGCAGGGGCGGATCTTCACGAGGGCCCGCGTCAAGACCGGCGCCGCCGAGGTGTTCCGCACGCTCGCGCCGTTCGACTTCGCCAAGGCCGGCTCCGGCAAGGGCCTCAAGGTGGAGGACCTGCAGCTCACCGAGGAGGAGATGGACATGTACGTGGACCTCCACCCCATCACCAACCGGTCGCCGTACACCGTCGTGGAGAACATGTCGCTGGCCAAGGCTGCCACGCTGTTCCGCGGCCTCGGCCTCCGCCACATGTGCGTCGTGCCGAGGACGCAAGGGGTAAGTATGCCAGCCGACGACTCCATTTCTTCTGTGGTTTCGCATGCGACGTGACACGAACTGCGATTCTTTTGTGTTATATATGCAGAGGCCGCCGGTGGTGGGGATCCTGACGCGGCACGACTTCATGCCGCAGTACATCCGCGGGCTGTACCCGAACGTGCTCCCCCGCTAGAACGACAAAGCACGGCCGGCACGCGGATGCCATTTCATTGCATTGCACTGCATCTGTATAGGTTTTTATTAGTTTATTAGGCTTTCAATATGTTTCGAACAAAAAGCCTAGGCTCTTCAGTCAGCACCCTGTCCCCTGCGATAGAAGTGGTGTGCCTAAATATTTTATCAGAACTGACAAGCCTGAGATTTTAGACATTGTATAGTATATCTCACAGATAATTATTGGCGATTGTTTCAAATATTCGAATCAATTTTGTTGATAGTATTAGTATCATTGAACTAGAGAGCTTACAGTTTGACAAGCAGCAATATCCTGCATATAAATTCTACCAGGGCCAATATGCCATGCTTGCATGGAGAAGTAGCTTACAGTTTGACAAACATCAATAACCTGCATATAAACTATAGGGCCAAATATGCCATGCTTCCATGCCAGGTTTAGCGAACATAAAACCGACCTAATCACAGATGGAACAAACGGTTTGCAGCCCCATAGTTCATGAAGGTAGTACTTTGAAGTAGTCATATTATATTACACACATGTATGAAACTCTTACACTTTGCTACTAAGAATGTAAAATTGGCAGACTTGCAAACCAAGACTCAGAATACGAAACTCATGTCATACACCTCCACGGCTGGTTGAATTGCCTTCACTGCCATCACTATCACTGCTCATCTACTTCCGCATTTCCGCTCCCACTGCTGCTGCTCCCATTAGACAGAACATTATCTACTCCTCATCCCGCATTCTCCATTCACTTGGGTCTTGGCCTCAAAGCACCTCAGCTGCACTGACCACCCCACAAGCTTCATCATTTACATTTTCATCAGCAATTTCATCATCCATATCCTGATTTGGTGAGTTGACATTGAACTGTCAACTAATGACACTTGTCCCGGGGCCATGTGCGGGATAAAAGCAAGAATGCATATGCTGGGAGATCCATTATCATGGAAAAAACAAGAATGCCATTATGCAGCCTGCGTCCAATACAAGGAAGGTTGTGATATACTGGAGTTGTTTAATTCTGAAAACAAATGACTATTTATAACCCTGCAATGACTGCTCCTAGAAATTACTTCATAAACATGTCACACAGTTTGAATATGACAAATTGAAATTACACCAAATTCTGTCATAATCTTGTTTGTTTTTCACTGCAGTGAAATACTAATTGATCTCATAGACACAGGTACGCCACAAATATGTTTGCAACTCATCAAATTCAACTGATGTAGAACATCTTACCTTTGCTCAAAAGATCTTCAACAGCGCCTTAATAATATAAAGTCTGATTCCTTCAACTGTTATTCCTCTGTTCATAAGAAACAAAAAGAAAATGAAGCACAGAGGATTCAGCCTATAACTCAGAACAATAACATCTCCGGCTTTTTAGTTGTAGGATAGAGATTGCTCCTATATAACTACAACACCCTTTCATCCCAGATATTCTACCTTTTCTCTTCGAAACAACATGCCGTTGAATTTTAGTGTAAGATTTTTGGTGATTTAAACCTGTGTTCTTGGTACTGAGAGTAGATGAAACCACATCCATTTAGTTCTACATACATAAATAGAAGAGTACCTTACACTCATTATTGGCGTAGTTGTGGTTTCAATTCAAGAGTTTCCTAGGTTGAATCCCACCTCTTGTACAGTTATAACCTAAGCTTCCTCCAGCAGTCCAGCTCCTAAAGCTTCAAACTGGGACATACATACTGCTGAGACTAAGGATGACCAAACACGGATGTTTGGTGTTTCTCCATGGTCGATCATCTCCTCTAGCCACAACAATGCATCATATGTTCTGCCAGCAGAACATAAACCTTCAATAACACTGTTGAATGCACTTCTGTCAGGTCGATGATGTCCCTTCACCATTCTCTCCATTAACTTTGAAGCATCAATAAACTTGGTTTCTGAGCACAAACCATGGACTAAGATTGAGAAAGTGTCCTTTTGAGCAACACAACCAAGCTGCTTATCCATCTTTTTGAGGCATTCTAGTGCCCTCATTGATTGCATCGTGTCACAGAGACCCTTCATGAGCAAGTTATATGTTGTCACTGTTGGAACAAGGTCATTCTTTGGCAGCTCCTCCTCCATCACTTCCACAGCATCATCCACGTTCCCTTCCCTGCATAAAGCAGCTATCTTCGCCTCATACATGCAGATTGTTGGCTTGAAATTCTTCTTGGCCATGTCCTCGAACAATTTGTCTGCCTGATCAAACCGACCCTCTTCATAGAGGTCAAGTATCATGGACTCAAAGCTGCATACAGTACGGCCACCTTGAACAGACAACGCCTGGTCAATGGATTCCCGAGCATCCTCGAGGTTAAGCACAGCAAGCATTGGCACACGAAGAGACCGACGGCTACCTGGTGACCTCAGCCCCTTCCTGAGCACCTTATCCAGAACCAGCTCAGCCTGTTCGCCCCGGCCAGCCGCACAGAGTGCGACCAGCAATGCCCGGTACACCACAACATCTGCGTCACAGCCCCTCTGCGACACCCGCCACAGCATGGAATAAACGACATGTGTGGCCTCATCAAGCATGCCAGCGTCACAGAGAGCAGGCACAATCGCGCGGTACGCGTCCCTCTCCGGCGCAAGGCATAGGTTCGGCATTTCGTCGAGCACCTGCAGCGCGAGGTCAGGGCGCCGCACGCCGCAGAGACCAGAGATGAGAAGAGTAAGATCCGCGGATGCTACTGAGACTTCCGGGCGCCCGGCGAAGTCGGCGAAGAGGCGGGCAGCCTCGGGGAGTAGAGCTTGGGAGACGAGGCGCCGGAGGAGGGCGGAGAAGGAGAGGGACCAAGACGGGGATGGGGAGGAGGGGAGCGACGAGCGGAAGATGGACACGGCGGCTGCGGGAGAGAGGTTGGGGATCGAAGCGGCGAGGAGGGAATCGGCGGATGGGGAGGATGGGAGGACGCGGCGGAGGAGGGACGGGAGGGCGGGGGAGCCGGCGGCGGCGCCGAGGAGGGTGGAGCGGACGTCGTCGTTGTGGCTGTAGCAGGAGGGTGGGTAACGGCGAGGCGCGTCCCAGTACAGGTGGGCGGCTTCGAGCGGGTTCTTCTGCCGGCGTATGGCTCCGGCGAGCTGCGCCGGGGTCAGCACACGCGGCCACCGCACCGGCGTGGCGCCCATTTGCCGTTGCTGCCGGGTCGTGGCGCGGCGGGCTCCGGGAGGCGCGCGAAGACGGCGTCCGCGTGCGCGGCGGCACCGCGGACGGACGCGAGTGTGAGGAGGAGGTTGGAGAGGCGCAGCGGGGAGGCGGCGAGATGGCCCGAGGTGAGTGGGCGTGGCACTGGAGCCGTGGAGCGCGTGGGAGGCAGGAGATGAGCGTCGGCACTCGGCAGGCCGACGGCGAGACGATGAGTGAATTCCAGGCCCGAGGGATTCTTTGATGGGCTACCAATTGATGGGCTTGCATGGCTACCGCAGCCTGGGTAGCACCGACGCCTGAACCAAAGAGAGCGCGCCGTGCCTGCGCGGAGCGCGCTGCTCCTTTAGTCCCACCTTGGCAGACTTGGCCGAGCGCACCCAGAGGAACTCTACAAAAGAAGACCCTGCGCTCCTAAGCGACTCATACCTTTCTCGGCCTTTTGGCTAAGATCAAGTGTAGTATCTGTTCTTATCAGTTTAATATCTGATATGTGGGCCATGTGCCCACTTCGGTATTAAATTTATTTTTTGTGGGGGAGGGTCCACAACAGTAGCTTGCTATTGGGGCCCTCACGCGTCGCTTGGGCGTTGCACTACTGCCCAAGCCTGGCCACCCCAACCAATTCGAAACGAATCTTTTAGTCTGCCTTTGAACTCGATTGGCTAGAAATAAGTCATAATGGGCCTGTGAACTTGCTTGGCCGAACGTGTAAGTGGCCCTTATAGAAGGAGCCTTTAAGACCAGCTGTAAACCCAACTCACTCGAAATGACTTTTTTAGTGGGCCTATAAACTCGCTTGAATGACCAGGACTTGGGCCTTAGAGCAACGCCTTTAATCCCGGTTGTAACAATGTACTCGAACAAATCAATTCTTGTTGTCTAAGCCAACTTCTTTAACTAAATCAATTTCTGTTGTCTTTAGGTCAAAACGTTTTTACCCTGTTCTTAAATAAATTCATTCTGAGTTATATAACTTAATTTCTATAAGTTTGGTCAACATAAAAAAAGATTAACTTTAGACAATTCTAGGAATTTATTTTCCATTGACAGAGAGTAGCAATAAAGTAGTCTATAGGACAAATTTTCATTTGTGAAAGTTTAAGTCCATAGCAAAAATTAATGTATGGACTACACATAAGAAATAAAGAAAAAACTATCTACAAAGGTTTGCCACGCTCAAGCAAGGACCCCAAATTTAATATCATTAGATAACACTAAACTATCTTCTTAGTGGCGGCCAATATCAGGGTGAGCGATTTTTCAATGAAGATTTTGGTCAAACATAAAAGAAGATCCTGGAAGCTGTTACTGACAATTGGCGAGGAATGCGGTCATAGGAGACATGACGGGCGGAGAAAGACGAAGGTTGGAGGAAGAAGGGGAGCGGGCAGAGGCATGATTGACTTATTAGGTGCCGTTGTACCCGATGGAACTAGTCTCTCCAGAAGATTGTCCACATATAAGATAATCTATTTAGACTATTTTGACAAATACATTTCATTGCTCTCAAAAGAGTAGTCTAAACCTGTTAGTAGATCCATAGCTTAAAATATACTGTTCAACAGTCTTTTCAATGGACTTTTCAGTGTACAGCATTTTAAGAAATAAAGAAACACTAACTAAGCGAACTCTCTCCTCTCTCTCTCTAGTGCTCCTTCCATTAGACACTAAACAATGGTGCCCGGCTGTGGGCAAATCACGCCACGCACACTTCAAGGTCACCTGAAACCCCAGTTTTTCATGTGCGCACTAATCTTCTCCTTCGGACTAACATCACTTTTCCTGTGCCGCCCTTCTTCATTTTAGTGGCGGCCTTATATCAGGAGTGAGCTCGATTTATGTCAACGAACCTTCGATTTGGGGAGAGTGGCAATGAAAAGGAGCTTGATTCATGAGTTGATGGGAAGATTGATCCGGGAATTTGTGACTACTAACTTGATGGTGTGGCCCACTAGGAGAAATCCACACCCAAAGGTCATAGGAGACATGACGGGGGGATAAAAAGACGATGGTTGGAGGAAGAAGACTCCAAGGATATACAAGGGCAGCTTGTGGGCATGATTGACTTATTAGGTGCCGCCCTTTTATTTTTATTATCAGTGTACCTGATGGAACTAGTCTCTCCATGCTGAGAAGATTGTCCGTACTATCTTTTATATGATATATTTTACACTATTTAGACTATTTTGATTCTGAATCAAATACATTGGGTAGAAAACACGTCCGCTTGTCTCAAGGCACAAGCGGGAAATAATCTCATTTCAAGGGACAAGCCTCCAATATTGGTTACCTCCTCCAGGGATCGGTCCGAAAAGAGCCACAACCTACGACAAAGAGCAACAAAGCCCATACCCAAGTATGTGCTCGGGATAATAAGTCTGTGACTTGCCCACGATGGCTTATACAATAACCGGTCCTTAATTGACACAGACAGGGAAAACAGTGTAACCAAGCCATGCCCCGCGTCCACGGCGACACAACCTCTTACACCTATCAAAACCCAAATCATATCCCTGCCCGGTCACCATTTTCCTTTCCATCATTTTTATATATTCTAAGTGATAATAATTCTATAATATATTTCCTATCTCTCGTGAGTGACAGCCATCACTCGACTTCTACCGGAGTCCTATAGCATAGCAATCTACACGATCCTGTCATACTAGGAAGACTCATAGGATAAAGATATATATGCAAGTGGGTTTTATTCAACTCCTTAAAACTTAATGCACAAATATAATTTAAACTGCAGAAAAGTAGGGGTTATGCACCGGGACTTGTCTGGGTAAGATATATATTAAAAAGTTAGTATCTGCATCTTCAGATCATCCACCATCGACTGGATAGAAAGCCCATTGCATCATCTCCTGGAGAGAATACCATCACACCATCTTCGGATTTCCAATCATCCTTCAATTGATTCATTGATCCATCATCGTACCTATATGATATGCATTGATGCAAATGCATAGATGTAAATAATCAACGACAGCCGAAATGCTTAGAAATCCGATCACGTCTCACAAGCTAACGAGATAGTTCTAACGCGCTAGTCTACGTATCCATGTTGTCGAATAAGGCGTCATTTCCCAACAATTATTTTAGTTATATAAATCCAAGTTGTTTCTTTATTTCATTCTAGCGATTTAATCATTATTCGAAATAGAGCATACCTAGCAAACTAATTATTATTGAGCTACAAAAATTATAGTGAGTACCTAATATTGCTAGGAATCTACTGTCGAAATTTCAGATCCAACACTATTACCAATTTACCACGGAAAATCCTACAAGTTCTCATTTTAAGCATTTTAAAATAATTCGAGCAACCCTAAAATCATACCACACCTATGTGAACCAAATACACTACTAGGTAGATCGTGATTTTCGAACTCAACAAAACTGGTTTCACTATTTTTAGACAACTACACAATTTTATATTGATTTTACCAGTTTATTTCCCAAAACTATTTTAGCAATTACTTTACGAACTAAGGGGGCCTGCCCAGCAGATAAGCATGTGCACGGCCTAACGCTGAACGGCATGCGCATGCAGTCAAGCAGTCGACAAAGCCCGGCCAAGCGATTGGCCCGGCGACCTAAGTATGGCGCAGGCGAGGCGCGACCGACAAGTACACCTGACCCCCAAATTTCAAAAAAGGCACAGCGGCGCCGAAATGGCTGCCCAAAATGACTCAAATCAAAAAAAACGCCCTTCAATACGAATGTCGGATGAAGATGACCATTTTGCAATATGTAAATTGTAGAACTTGATGAGATCTACAACTTTGTAGAAAAATCCTCTTTGAATTTTTTTTCATTTGAGGACGGCGGCAGACACGCCACGCTGGGAGGAAGCGCGGATAGCGCCGGACCGCGAGAGGGGCAGCGCATGTCTTATGCGGCAGGGGAAGCGGAGCTGCTGCTGGTTCGGTGAGAGGAAGGAAATGAGCGCCGGTGCTCGCGACGGCGTGAGGCGTGGCTACCTGGCGGGGACTCGTGGACGGGAAGAAGAGGAGGGCGGCGGCGCTGCGCAAAGTTGCAAGGGGACGGGAGGTGGCGTGGTGCTACGACCAACACGGCCGCAGACGCGTGATGATGGCGGGGTGCTGCGACCCGGACGCGCCGAGGGGCAGCAGGCCTGCGCTGAGCCAAGGGACACGCGCGCTCACGAGGGGGAAAAGGAGAGGCGACTGGTGGGCGGCGGTGCTACGCTGGAGGAAAAGCTGCGGAGTGCGAGGAGGTGTCGGGCGCATAAGAGCGTAAAAAAAGGGAAAAGAATGAGGAAACAACACGCATGCCAGAGAACGAATGCGGGGACATGGAAGGACGGCGCAGCGTGGCTGTCAGCTGCATGCCTACACGCACACGGAACGTGAAAGGACATGGCGGCGAGGTTGATAACAGGCAAGGAAGCTGTGAACAACGGCAAAAGAAACGCACGAGAGGGGTGAGGTGTGCTCGACAAATTGACAATCAAACCAGAGAGAAGCAAAAGCAAAGGCGGCGAGCATGAATGCGGATAGATGAGAAGACTTTTTCGAGAGAAATGCATAGCCACGATGAGTCAAAGATTTAACTTGGACGTTTATTTGAGTTTAGCACACATGCCTTATCACATCAAGGTTTTAAATCAAAAACAAAAGACCTGTTTGAAAAAACCGAGGTCAAGTATTCAACACAGGGTGCTTCTAAACCAACTCAAGTATTCAACACATTCTAAGTTAGTGGCATCCACAAGTTGAATAGCTTGGACAATTAGCCGAAAACGAAATGGGTAATACAATAAGAGCACGCGTGGTAAGCTGTCATATCTCATCAGTTGATAACTCGATATCTCTAGTGCAACTTGCCTGAGTTGCTACCAACATTCAAAGTAACTTGAACCACATATATTCTTAAACATTACTAGAAAATCAAAGACACAAACAGTACCACGCTTACACACCGTTACAGATGAACAGTCCCTATACAAGTAATCATGATCAATGTAGTATTACAGGTATTTCAGTTTTACCACTTCTTGTCTTTTTTTTTCTTTTTACGACGGATACTGTCTTTGACCCTTTGTTTTCTATTTTGATATTTTATCAATCTTTTAGCAAGCAGAGCATTGCGAGTAGGCAACGAACACTTGGGCCCCATGCCATTTTCCGGCTCGTCGGCAAGCCTAATCAGGCCAGCGCGTTGGCCAAATGGCGCGAGAACGGAAACAGCCAGACCTGTATGAGATGCGTGCCTTCTTTCTCCGACCCGAACACCCATTCCTCCTCGACGCGCCTCTCGACCATGTCGAACGCCAGCAGCTTCCACGGCGACCACAGGTACACCAGCTCCCGCTCGGGGTGGAACGCCATGAACAAGAACGTGATGGGCTGGGACGCGCCGCCGGGGACGACGTCGCTGACCCCGATCTCGTGCTTCAGCGCCCACTCGCCTCCAGCGGCGTCCTTGAGCTCCCAGATCCTGAGGCGCGTGCCGTCGCTGGACGCGAACCGAAGGCGGCCGCGGCAGTGCCCGGCGCGCGCCCGGCAGCTGACGGGGGCCGGGAGCGCGGTGACGGCGGACGCCATGGTGTCCAGGTCGACGCGGACGACGTGGCCCGAGTAGGCCAGCACGTGGAGCGCGCCGCCGGAGTAGTGCATGGTGGCCGACATGGCGTCGGTGTCGAGGCCGAAGTCGACCTCGTGGTCCCGCCACGCGCCGCGCTCGGAGTCGAACACCTCGATGGTGGCGCCCCGGGGGAGCCACCCCGTGAAGCACACCACCCTGTAGTGCGGCGAGGCGCAGGGGTCGAACGCCAGCACCGAGAGCAGCGTCCTGGCCCGCGGCGGCGGCAGCTCCGCCCACAGCCGGGTGGTCGGGTTCACGACGTGGAACGCCGTCGGGCGGGACGCGTAGTAGAGCAGCAGGCCGCTGCAGCCGTCGATGATGGTGGACGTGTCGTGGCGCGGGAAGAAGCCCATGTCCGGGGCCTCCGCCGTGGCGCCGCCGCGACGCCTGACGCGCACGCGTACGTGTACGCCTGCTGCCTCCTGCCGCCATCCAGGTCGCCGTCGCCGCCGCGGTGCGTGTCGTCGTGGTAGAGCACCCCCGACGTGATGAGCGGCAGCCGGCGGCGGAGGTAGTCGCTGGAGATGATGCGCCGCCACGACGTGGAGACGCACTGGAACCGCGCCAGCGACCTGCACGGCAGCCTCGCGAGGATCTCCGTGAGCACGTCCTCATCCATCTCGCCGTCCATCTTCTTTGGTGGACCTTCGAGAGACTATGACACGATGAGAGCGGAGAGCTCCTCCTGAACCTGCACCCTTCTGCTGATTCTACTCAACAAGAGACTGCTATATATATAGAATTATTGCTAGAACGATGTATATATTTATTTATTTATGATATTTATAAAGCCTTGGGCTATGCTTTGGTTTCTCCACCGGGTGAAGCAAGCTTGGATGTCCAAGCCACGCAGAGATTTCGGTCGATGCACAGGAAGTGCTCAAAAGAGATGACGTATCCTACAGTCCGACTGAAGTACTCAAAAGTGGTGACGTATCATTTTCGGGTGATAGCAAAAACCTGAAATGTGAATGAATTCAGTGAACGTACGTGCGTGAGTCGTGACCGGTGCCACTAGTCACTGGATATATGTATACACACGCTTTTGATCGCTGTTGCACTTTTTGCGCCGGAACTGATATAATACAAGCAAGTAGTGGAGTCTGGTGCCTGCCATTTTGCCATTTTGGCAAGAACATGGATTGTTGCTGGGTTTGGGGTAAACCTACTTTGGACGCGAGGTTTGCAGCGTGTTTTCCGCGTTGGCTCTACATACCACCAGGAAAAGGAGTCTGGTCTCTGTGACTGTGAAAGTGAGGGAGATTGGGTTACCACTTACCAGCTATAGAAGAAGAAGAAGAAGAAGAAGAAGAAGAAGAAGAAGAAGAAGAAGAAGATGCTCTGCTGAATAGGACTCGGCGAGATGGAGCTAGCGAGTTGCCGAGGTTGTTACAGGATATTCATTTGGATGGGCAAGATGATCCGGTTTTGTTATTTGGAACTGTAGAATCCGTTTGAAGATTGCAATGTTTATTTGGCAAATGTCCATTTACAGACTGCAAACTGCAGCCTCTATCAACAAAAGAGGCTAGAAAGACAGCCCTCTTGCTACTTTTGTTTGGACTCCTTTAAGGAACATTTTTAATTAGCATAGTCGATTTATGACAAAATTGGTAATCACACAAATTTGGGGTTTGTGGGAAAACTGTAACAAGATTTATAGCAGTTGAGAAGAAACTACCCAGCAATCCTTCTCAAATCCTGTTCCTTTTTTTTTCGAGTCTCTCAAATCTTGTTCCTGGAGTTATCTTCTGTGCAGAAACGGCGACCACTGCTCAAGGTGAAAGATCGCCTCGTTCGTTTGGCTGATAAGCCATGACTGAAAGTACTGTTGGATAATTTATTGTGAGAGAAAAATACTATTTATTGGCTGAAAAAATACGACTTATAAGCTAAGCGAACGGAGCAAATGAATGGGTGCGGTGGACACAGTGGTCGAGCGCACACTTGATTGGCTTGCATGATTTTAGGCATTCCGGGCATTGGTGAAATCGTTTATGGCGAAATCTTGGTCTGTTGTACGGCGGAATCTGTTGCGCCTGAGTCTGCTTTTATGTGAAAACTATGGTGTTAGGAGCTGGTGTCCTAGCCCTTTGTTTGTTTTGGCTCCGTTCGCTTCGTTGAAAAAACAAGCCGAAATATTGTTCCAGCTGATTTATTATGAGAGAAAAATACAGTTTCCGCTAAAAAAAAAGCTGAAAAAGACGAATTATAAGATAAGCGAAGAAGGCCTTTGTCTGTGAACAATTATTTTGCTTTCAATGTGAATGCTTATTTGCTTTCAATAAAACAGAGGTACTCTCTTTTCTGGAAAAAAAAGGCATTATCCTGTGGCACTTCACTGTTGGATGTGTCGTGTAACCCTGCTCGTTTGTCTTATGAGCCATACTTTTTCAGCGAACGAACAATGTTTTTCTCTTACAACAAATCAGCCAACGGTATTTTTCAACCTGACTTATAAGCCAAGCGAACAGAGCTAAGAGAGCGATTTTCTGTCAGTATCAGACGACTATACCAAAAATAAGAGAAAGCCATGAGAAAATGACGTATTTTTTTTAATAGAAACAGTTTCAGAGATACGGAGTAAGTAGATAACCAACGTATCTCGAAGACAGCAAGAAAAAGTTCTCTATTGTTTAAAAAATAAAAGAAACATAGCTGCCTCACCAGTACAAAATACCCAAATTTTATTTATTCTCGAAGTCAATACCCCATTGTAAAAAATAAATAAGTGCACCTATCTTTCTTTTCTTTGCTAGGAATAAGTATTGCTATCTGATCTGCAAATAATGGAAAATATTTGCCTCTCTAAACATTTTTTTTAGATAAGGGAACACCGTTTTAGCCTCTACCACCCGCGGGTGGTACACACTTGGCCTCCCTAAATAATTGAGGATAGGAAATCGTGTGGTAGTAGATTTAGACGGTTTTCAATACTTAAACTACTTGGTTTTCTAGATGAGATGATGAAATCGACAAACGCTAATAGTCAAGGGGTTAGGTAGACTTTTTCTGTTTTTATATGTGTTTGTTTGGTACCTGAACCATATGGTGTTGTAAAAATCAGATGTTTAAAGAACACTTGGATTTTTGGACACATCAACTTTACCTAGAAACTATGAAAAATACCACTTCGACTATAATATAACTTAATTACAGAGGCGCTCTTGTGTTCTTAAACATGTTTTGAATTATAATTGTATCTTCTCCACATTTATTGAACTTTGTGGTTTTGCCCCAGCTCTTTCAAAACAAAGGCAGAGTTTTTACCCCTGTCCCATTTAGATGAGGTAACATTGTCAGTTCAGTTTAAAAAAACTAGATTTCCCATATGAAATTTGCACCTAGGTTTTTTAAACAGAGTTTAACAAGTTGCACATGCTCCTCGGTAAAAGCTGGGAGGGTTAGAATAAGGCAAGGGGTTAGCATCGTTGTTACTATTATTGTTATATCATCATCATCATCTTTGATTTATTTGTCGGGCCTTTAGCTAACTGAGACTAGAATATGGATAAATGGTGGTTTGGGGTTTGAAAAAGAAGGTAAAATCATAAAGTTGAACGAGGATAAAATCACAATTGTCCATTTAAAATTGTACCGTAGCTAGAAATTTAGGTGTCAGATACCAACACGTCTATTTCTTTATTCGTTTCCATTTCCATGCCTGCTAAGTGCTAACCATAAAGGAGCAAGAAGAAGAAAAGAGAAAAGGAAGAATTAGGGTATTGGCAAGAGAAGCCAGGAGCCGAATGCTATATAGCAGTCCCCTTTTTTTTATTTCTTGTTGAAGCCTGCAATAAAAATCTCTTCTTCTTTTTAAACTTTTGAGAGAACAAGCAAAGGTATCCCATTTTGTAACAAATAAACAAGCACAGCCATCTTTTCTCTCTTTTTTTTTGGCAAGGAACAATTACAGGTATCTGATGTGCAAATGACGGTAAAGTCTTTCTCCTGTAAACAATTGAGGAGAAGAAATCGTGCGGTAGAAGTTTTTGAATCGATCCACCACTAGGCCACTATGTCCCTGGCAATGATGCAAAAGGAACTCTTCTTGGCCTTGCCTCCAAGCAACAGACGACCAGGACGATAGGTAGATGCCACGATAGGTAGATGCCATGCCAGGACATCATCGTGCGTGCCTGGCCGGCACGCACTCCTGCACGTTGAGGCGTCCACGTAAAGAGGTGGGCTGGGACCAAGCTGCCATTTGTTCGTGCGTGCAAATCTCGTCACGTATCGCCACGACCCTTCCGTTTTGTTTGCCACAAAGAAACAAGAAGCGTCAGGATAAGCTAGGCAATAGGCATGCTTGGCTATACGCCTATACCGTCGTCCTGTTCCGCTGTGCTCAATGCTTCAAGGCTGAGACGAGACGTCTGGTTGTTCATCATTAAAAAAAAGAAGAAGATGAAACTTCTGTAGCTCTGTTGCTTGGACGCAATGCCACGCCTTTCCTCGCGGCAATCTCGGCTCATCGCTGTTCTCCGTGTCCTGCGCCGCCCAGTAGAGGAATCTGGCGCACCTCCCGGGCAAGCGCCCCCACCGCTGTCTCTGAACATTCTTAGACTAGACTCTGACGGTGATACGGTGATGCGCTATCGGCTGCGGTTGCCCGGTCGCGGAAGCAAGGACACGTTCGGCGCGCCGTTCTCGCCGAGACTCTTTGCATCGTGTCGTGTGGATGCCACTCAAAGTTTCCTCTGCTGGTGTCCACCTGGATTTCGGTGGGACTGACCTAATAATCTGATGGACTGACGCCGACGTGCTTGCCGAAAGAATGTCTCGGCGTTCCTTGGAGTGTGCAACTTCTCTCGCGTTGCCGGACCAGCTTGCCATTGGCACAGCGCGAAGCGTTTCGCGCACCGCCCGCTACAGATGGCGGAAGGAGACGTGCCGGCTTAAGGAAACGTACACGCGGGCGGAACTGCCGATAGCAGGGGATGGCTACGTGTCCACCAATAATCACAAAAGTACAGAGCCAAACCGATTTAAACAGTGCCGGCCCTGGAGGGCACAGGGGAGGGAGGGGCCCAGGCCCGACCCCAGCCCTATAGTCCGATGGCTCTTGATAGATAGCCCGAGACATTTAGGATCAGGAGTGCCGAGCGCTTGCTTTCCCCAGTCCGTGAGTCTACTACGTACGCGAGTACCCAGGGGAAGGGTCACGGTCTCAAGGAGTCACGGAGAGTCGGAGACGGAGCCACGTCGTGCCGCCGCCGGCCGCCGCGGAGAGCCGGAAACACGGAAACGGCACACTCACAGGCTCGACTCGACAACGACGCGATCAGGCGGATCAGTCGATCATCAGTTTATCAATCATCACTTCATCAGTTCATCAGTCGATCAGGCCCTAACACCTAGGTATTTTTCCCATGATCATTTTTAATCCAAATTAATTATTTCAGACTTACTCGTACTCATATAATCATGTTTTTCTTTTAATTTAGATGTTAGAATGTTACCTAAGAAACATTTGTCGGGATCTCAGAAAAGAAAACGAAAAAAACTAGAAGATCGATTTATTGAATCTTAGAAAGGTGCTATACATAAGTGGACACTATTGATCTCAATACCGTCCTTGATGATTCTGCATTAAGAAGTGCCCAAAGAAGTATCTTTTTATGAGAAATATGGATGTTATGGAGTTCTATTCTTTCTTGTGGTAATCATATTAGTTTTAGAAGTATAAATATACTATTGTTTTAGTTTACTTTTTTTTTACAGTCACCGGGAGTTTTCGCCACCTGAATTTTATTTGGCCCTCGTGGCCCGTGATAATGTTTACAAGATGTTTACATTTTGAGAAAAAAAGAGTTTACAGGCTACTCCTGGGCCGTTTTAGTTTATATTGTTTCTCGATAACTATCAAATATGTTAAATTAAAAATATATCACTGGATTTGTTTTCACTTTGCAACAAAAATTAGCCCATATATATTATAACATTTTATATTTGGTCTAGAGGGCCTTCGTGACGAGTTCGCCGGGGCCCTTAAAATTCTAGGACCGGCACTGGATTTAAAATTCATGCTAAATTTATATTTGAAAATTCACTGAAGGCCATATAGCTTCATGCCTTCATGCTGTCATGCAGTTGCATTATTAAATTTTAAAAGGAAAGGGAGAGATAACAACGTCTTCCTTGGGCTGGCATGTAGGCCCGTTCGCACATAGCTGGGCCGGAGACGGAAGGCTGGCTCGTGCATCGGGTGAGTGGGCCCGGTCGTCAGAGATCACCCTCGAACCGAACAGTGTAGCCACAGATTCTGATCCTGCTCCAGATTCTCCGCAGACAAAAACGCGTCTCCAGCTTACTCTGCTGGTCTGGTCAATCCAGGAGAAACAAGGTCCCGTACGGGTTTTGCATGAATCACAGAAGCGAACAAGGAGAAAGCTACTGCTGGTGATAGCTCTAGGTAATCAGATTTTCGATAATACCTTAGCAACCTATAGTTCTTTTCCAAGTTCCACCATGCTTTACCGTTAATACAAGTAAACCACAGTCGAACAAAAGCTATGAGTACATTTAGTTGGAAGACAGACTGCAATTCGTATCAAATACTGCTTTGGTGAAGTTGACACTTGGCGCAATGGAATCAACTTCCTTGTGGAACCATGGATATCCACCAGGCGAGAACACTAACGTCATGCATAAAAAAACACATGCTAAGACAGAGCCAGAGCCAAGCAGCTGGATTCTAATCAGCTGACCGGGGATCACATTCATGGTTTGCATAAAGTTCACGTCTTCTGTACATATTATATGAAATAAATTTGGCAACCATCATGGATGACCATTTCTGAATTTGTTTGGACAAATTTCCATCAGGAAAACTGGAAGCAAACAAACAAAACCACAGCAAGTCAGCAACCTACTGCAAACCAACCACGGTCTCAACTATCAGCCAACTCTGAAAGCCCCAGGTTTGAGCAGGAGTAGATTTCACTTCACATAATTGTGTAGTATTTTCGGCATTGACTTTGCTGCTGGGTGCTGACTGAAGTTATCAGCGATGCCTTTCCTGCTGGAAACCAACGGAACACTGCCTTATAAAGCAGTCCAGTGTTGAGGCCATGTGCACAAGACAGGGAGCCAGCTGAAGAACATGGACTGCACAATGCTCATGGAAGGAGGCTACTAGTAGTATATTAACCCATCTCTCCATGCCAATCATACATGGTAACATGAAGGCCATATGGGGACCATGCCCTGGACCTCTGGTTCCTTGAACAAATAAAGAAGCACACCGATCCAGCAGTATGCCAGTATGCACATGCTTTCCAGGTAGATCTGCTTTACATTCCCCAGGACCGGGAGTGGAACAAGGACAAAATATTCTACTCCCAGTAGTCTGGTCTGCTGCTGCTTTAAAAGGACCTCCAAACTGAGACAACTGATGGCGCCAAACAACTGCACTGTAAAATCGCATAAGATCTGAAATAGGATAGTTGATTTTGAACCAGAAACCTCATGTAACTACAATGTACAGCCGTGACCATGTGAAGTTGAATGCTTGTATTACTGTATTATCAAAATGGTGGATACGATGCAACTGCTAAGCAGCAACACAACCCACCCGGATCTTACATCATGGAACTTTTCAAAGTCACAGAATCTACAAAATTTGGACATAATGCCTATAGACAGCTTAGCAAGAGCTAAGCAAGCGAAAACAAAACTGAGAAATATAACAGCAAGACTCCTGTTCTCCATGTCAGTCTGTTTTTGTCGAAATGTTTCAAATTCCGATCTGCAGAAACGTAACAGAGTGATTAGCAAAGTAATATGTATCAAATATAATTTTATGAACACATGCTGAAGCAACTCAAGTTGTGTGTACATCATGATCATGAATTGGGAAAGGAAAAAAGGAATACGATAATACTAATATACAAACCTGAGTAGAGCATTATCCAGGACCAGCTGGTTTAGTTGCGAGGAAGCAACTAACTTCCATGAGAGGATACCTTCAATTTCATTCGCCTGAAACCAAGAAATATATCATTAAATACCAAATTATCAGGTACCAATAGCTCAAGGAAAATTTAAGTATAGAAAACTACATACAATGCTATCTTTGCTGCTCTCAAGATTCTTCAGCTCTGATTTGATCTTCTCTAACAAGACATCTTTGCTATCAATATCGGCATCAAAATCCTTAAATATTTGCCCATATCTGCTGTTCAACTCCACTAGGTACCTCTCCAAGACAGAGAAGCTCGCATCAAGAGACTGGACTTTCTGCATTAGCACCTTAAGAACTGTATCTCCAGGAATCCTGCCAGCCTGAAGTGTCCTTGTCTCTGAAACTGGATCATTGGCGCCATTCTTCGATGAATCACTGTTTGGTTTATCATCTTCTAGTTCAAATTCATCTTCATCAAGGGGTTCCTGTGAGGATTCTTTTCCTCCAGCAGGCTCCTTCAAAGGAATTTGCTCAATGTGTTCCTTTGTCTTGTCATCAGGTTCTGTTTTCTTATTCTCAACTGGAATCAAGTTTTCAAGCATCTTTTCTACAGCATCCATTCCATACATTTCAAGCATACTGAGCGTACAGTAGAACTCAGAACCATAATGGCTGACCAAGTTCAGTTTCAAATATCTAGCCCACTTTGGCTCAAGAAAAGTGAAATTCTGAGCAAGTTTAGCATTTGTGGCAGTGAATCTTCCAAGAGTTTCCCAATTTTCTGTGGGATATGTCAGACTGCTCTGCACTTCAAATTCTTTCGGATTGGAAGAATAATGCTCAAAATTTGCAATTGCGATTGTATCTACTAAGGTTTCTTCAGAAAGCTCTATGATGACAAACTTCCCCTCTACTGAGCAAGGATTGCGGAGGTACTTATCTTTGTCTTTATCTAAGATATTGGAAGCACCCTTAGCCTCCTTATTGAAATCCAGGACCTTAGCCCCTTTAGATGCTGCAGCATAATTATACAACTTCCCACTAGGCTCCCTTCGGTGGATGACATGACCAGGTTGACTAGAAACACCAGGTCCCCTTTCAGCAATTGCTCTTGTCTTGAATTCATCAAGATCAGGAGGAGCAACCCGTGATAGTCTTGGTGGTCTCGGCAAATCTTCACTCTCCACCTTCTCCCCTGGTTGAACTCCAGAATCAACATCCGACTGAGGAAGATACCCACCCTGATCTCCTGAAAGCTCAACCTGACTGTCTTTGGTTAGAGCTTCTGTGTTCTCACTCCGCACCTCATCACTGGAGCACAACTGATCTGCTTGCACCAGTGTGTCCTCTGAAAGCACAGCATTTTCGACAGAATTAACACAGGTATCACCTGGCACTGCCAAATTCTCTTCATGCTCTTCCTGTACAGCCGGATAAACAGAACCAACATTCAAGGTAGGCTCGACAACAGTAAGATCGACAGCAGAGCCTCCTCCATCTGCAGAAACCAGACAGCACAGATGTAATTTCCATTGTTTTAAAACACAAGAGTAATTAGCAGCTCGAGTCCACAAGGACGTGGGGAGTTCATCAGCTAGTCTAATAATCATCGACATATATTCAGAAACAACGCAACAAAGCACCCGGATCTACCAAAGTTGTGACGGACTTGGATGGCGCCGCGCAGTATGATCGGCTGCGTAGAACAGCCGGGGCATCGGTTCGCGTGTCACGATCACCAACACGCGACCAGCCACGCGGCTGACTCTTCAAGACGGATTGAGAAATGGTCGGGCGAGATACAGCGGAAGAGAAGAGGGCAGTTGGCTATACCTCGTTGACCGTCGCCGTGTCCGACGAGGGAGTGGAGGAGGAGCATGGCGACCCACGAGGCGACGACGAGGGAGGCGGAGAAGCCATACAGCCGCCTCTTCCTCCCGTTAGCGGCAGCCTCCGCCACCGCGCTCTGCTCCTGCGCCGCCGCCGTCCTCCGCAGAAGGGCCCTCCGCGACCTCTGCATTCCTTCCCTGCCCCTCCCGGCCTTCCCTCACATCCGCGCCAGGAAACCGCACCCTGCCGCACGACAAGGATTAGGGGAATCCGGCCAACCCCGAGTAGGAACGGTCGGAAATCAGAAGCGCGGCGTCCAGCGTGACGCGACGCGGGCCGGGGACCGAGGCTGCGGAGACGCGGCCGCGTGGCACCGGGCGGGGGGTGGGGGGTTTTGAAACGGCCGGAGCTCCACCAGTGGGGGAGAGGAAGAGGGAGGAGTTTATGGCTTTTGTGCTCTTCTTCAGCGCGAGATCTTCGTCTTCTTCCCGTTGACAGTGTGAGGAATCGTCGCGTGGCCTGTACGTCCGTGTCCGTCCAGCCTGTGCTGAGGTGGATCTCCTCAATTGCTTGGATTCTCCGTGTTGTTTATTCTCTCCAATCCAACATGGAGACTTCTTTTGGTTTCGAAATTCGAATCCCCAACTAAGACTCCGTATCTAGGGCCTAATAAAAATTACAGATTACAAGGTCCATTTAAGTCATTTTTGCAACTGGTTTTCAAATGTAGATTGTTTTGTTTTTTAAACACGTGCAAAGGGATTAAGGAAATACTAGATCAAATGACCCTAATACAATTTAGGCTCTGCTCGTTTCGTTGAAATTTAACATATATGCTAATGCTTATGCTGATTTATTGTGAGTGAAAAATACTGTATGAGAGTGATAGTGATAGTACTATTTATTAATTTGAAACGAAGAAAGAAAATGAGAAGAGAGTTCTTCGTCGCTGCTTGGTGCATTCATCCACGTCTCGTTCCGGATGAGAAGATCATGGCCATCCCGGAGCCGGTGTTCCTGGGTGAACATGAGGACATGACGAGCTCCTAGCTCTTCGTTATCTGGTCCGGTGCCGCGTTGTGGAGTTCCAGGACTGGTCAGTCCTCCGGCACACGTCCGATGATGATGATGGGTATGGCGGACCCAACGATGACGATGTTAGCAGTGGCGATAGCAATCACAACCGCTACCACCTGGTCTTGACGCTGGGGACGTCGCTCGTCATGTGGGCCGAAGACGGTGCGGCTCGCCGGCGCCGGGGACGACGCACCATCGGGGGCTGACCTTCAGGTCGCATCGCACTGTCCTCATTGGTTCTTTCGCATGCCTGATCATCGAGCCGCGTGGGCGTCAGGCGGCGGTGCAGTACGTTGGGGCTCGTGCGATTGTTGGAACCGAGAACCAGGCGGTTGTTGGACCCGAGATCCAGGCAAAAAGTTGTCAGGTGGAAGAGTGGAAGGCTGACATCTCGCTCGGTCTACCACCCTTTTCGTTTGATGGTTTTGGTGACTTATAAGTCGGTAGACGATGTTTTGTTGTGAGAAAAAAACACTATATTATTATTGATAAATATGACGGATACGATCAAGCGAATAGGGTGTACATCGTTGGTCAGAGGAAGAAGATTTGGGAAATCTTTTGACCCCATGCTGTGTGAGGAGGCCATACGTCCTTCCCAGTCGGGAAAGGTGGACCACCAGTCACAGGCGTCGCAGGCGTCGTGCGATGACGCCGCGCTCCTCGCTCACCGTGATGGCAACGACTGTGGGAACCCAGGTAAAGATGGCAACGGCCCCCGATACCCGATATCCGATACCCGACGGGTATTTGATCCATTAAGAGACGGGGATGGGATCATATCTTTACCCGCGGACATCTAAATGGACAAGAATCCATCCTCGATGGGTATAGCGGGTACGAGAACGTTCCCTATTTACCCGTCCTCATTACCCATTGGGGAACCCGACTATTTGAGCTGTCATGCGAGTATTAGGCCCAAAGAAGCTCAACATAGATATTTTGACCCAAATCTGAACAATCATATATATAGTTTGTGTGTTCTAGAAACCCTAGTTCAATTTTTTCTCACCATCTCCTCCAGTAGCACAAGCACGCCTGCCTCACGAGCGCTCGTGCCCCTCGCTTCCTCAGTTCGGTTTCTCTGCCACCTTTGCTCGTTCTCCTCGCAACCTCGCTCCTTCTCCTCGGCATCTCCAAGACTCCGACACTTATACTCGGGTGAAGAAGAAACGTCTCCGATTGCAAAGCTGCGACCCCAAGCGTCCTTGTTTATCGGGTATGCAGTACCCATCGGGTATCTGTTACCCGACCGATGCCCGACGGGTATGGGGATGGGCAAGAATCTATACCTGAGATAATTAACGGGGATGGGGACGGGATGAATTCTCCACAATGGGGAAGAGAACATTCCGGCGATACCCGACGGGTACATCCCCGTTGCCATCCATAAACCTAGGTTTCGTGGCCGCGCTGCTTTGCGAGGATAGGTCGCTGCTCGTGGGGGCACGCCCCACTGGATGCATGGACCTAGTCGATGGACCGGGGTTCCTCCTGGACCCGACGGTGGAGGTGGACGACGTCCACGCAAACGTCGATTGCGGCACCTTCGTTTGTGGGCAGGCTGATGGGTCGTCAGGCCCAGGCCCATCAACTCCCCCACCCCTGGGCGTCCACGACCTGCATGTGTCGAGCCCACGGGTCGGTTGCTTAGCGGGCGCGGCTTCTGTTACACCACCCCCTGAATCTGGACTCCAGCCTGCGTGGTCCACGGGCTGCTGGATTGGCGGCTGATCAGGTTGCGCCGTCCCCTGAGCCAGGCTCCATATCATCCTTCATCAACACGATGACAGTGGCACTTGAGACTCTGGTGGTGCCTTCTCCTCCGCGCCTGAGAATCACCAATCGGCGCGCCGACACACGCGAAGATGCAGAACTGGTGCCGAATAGGAGTGCGAGGCTTGCGGCCAAAAGCAAATTCCGCGCCAAACAAGCCGATGCTCAGCCCAGGAAGATCCTGATGAAGAAACTAGGCGAGGACGTCCCAACTGAGGAGCCGGATCGTGCGGCGTTCGAAGACTTCCAAGTGACTTTAGTCTGTTCGCTTGATCGTATCAGCCATGCTTATCAGCTACGATACAATATTTTTTTCTCACAATAAAACAGCATCGGCCGGCTTATAAGCCACATAAACGATCAAGCGAATAGAGTATTTCAAACTGCCTCTTGACCCATCCAGGCGTGAAGGGATGCGCGAGCTCTTCCTAGGTCGCCGCGAACGCCGCCCGGCGGCGGAGGTGGTCGCTTAGACCCCTACGGTCTTTAGTCACAAACGGTGGCCATGGATAGTTCCAAAATGTTGGTTTGGAATGTGCGCGGCATCAACATGCGTGCGCGTCGCCTTCAGCAGCTCATGGCAGACTTGGGGAGGGGGACCCAATCGAGTGTTGCTTGCGTCGAAGACTTTTGCTTAGTTTGGAGCAGCGTCGGGGGTTTGATTCACTGGTGCTCCTCGTCTCTTGGGAGGTCTGGAAAGAACGAAACGTGAGGATCTTCAGGAATGAGGTCTCCACTCCGACGGTTGTCGCGTAGCGCATCCATGGCGAAGGCGGACAGTAGATCGATGCGGGTTTTACCCCCTTAACTTATGTTTGGGCGTTCCTTGCCGGCGCCGACATTGTCGCTCCATCTAGTATCTTAGGGCTATTTCGTTGTAGGTTGTTAGCATTGCTAATGTTATCGCTTGCCACTCGCACACGATTTGATGTAGCAGGCCTAACAACCGGTTGTAACAAAAAAAACTCCTTTTGTCTTAATGAAACACGGGCTGCGAAAAAACAAGAAAGCAAAAACAACCTACACTTTGAATCGGATTGGAGTACGGTGAAGTAGCTTCATAGTACTTCAAATGGTATGGTACCTTAGATAGATTAAACTTAAATTATCATAGTATTGAGTAAAGAACCTTGGGTTCAAATGATACCTTAAAGTCTATTCCTCCGTCCCTAAATGTTAGTCGCCACGATTTGCGTGACGATAACTTTGACTCGATTTATAGAAAATACGTGCAACATTTCTATCTCCAAATAAATTTATTAAAAAACTAGATTCAAATATCTATCCAATGATATTAATTATGTATCATAAATATTAATATTTTTAATATATATTTAATCAAAGTTGTTTCTCAGAAAACGAAAACGACAGACATTTAGGGACGGAGGGAGTAAGCATCAATCATTGGCGGTATGATTATAGATTAGATATGATCTAAATGATACCATACTTTAGAGCAACCACAATATGTAACAAAGAGTAGTTCATATATGATTAAAATATTTCATACCAACTAGTTAAAATATTGTGAAATATGTTAATGGAATAGTCCAACAAAGGCTACTCATAATATTATTATGTACTACTCATAACAGGCAATAAAAATATTATCATTTCCTACTTTTCTCTTTGTCTGCAAGGATTTTTTTATCTCTAGTGAGACTCTTGTTATAGACGGTTGAACATTATGAGAAAATAATACTATAATAGCTATAAACTAGTCAAGTGAGCATCATGTATATGACTATTTAGTTACATTATGGTTGCCCTTGAATTCAATTTCCTCTTTTTTATGAGAGGTATAAATTCTTGAAAGTTATATTCGGGTTTAAAATTTCAAATCAAATTAGTAACTGCAGCGGTTTGCGTAATACATACATACTCCTACGCGTCACGGGGTGTGTCTCGGACTCTCGGTTGGTGCACGAGAGCAGACGCCACGCGTACCAGCCAATCCGAAGCCCACACGCGTACCCGCCACGTCATCCATGACCCGAAGCGACGAGGTACCTTTACGCCGCTCTTGTGTCCCCACAAAGTAACCTGTTAACCCGATGGGTGTCGGGTTTGTTTAATAACACGAGCAACTGACGTGCGGGACCCGCGCGCACCACGCCGGCCCTTCCTCCGTCTCCGCGTCGGTTGTGGCGCCGTTTTTCGAATCTCCAGGCAATTATAGCCACCCGCCGCGGCGCCGCCTACGGAGAACCCGTGCGCCTTCCGCTTCCGCCTCGCGCCCTCGCGGCAACGGCCTACCCTATACGCCGCCACCTGATTTGCTCGTGCCCTCGTGCGGCATCACACAGATTCCCGCGTCCCGCCGCCGGCGACTCGGCGTCCTGCTGATTGCGGCGCGGCCGTGCGAGGAGTACACGTAGCCGCTCCCCGCGCCCAGATTCAATCGCCCATGGCGAGGAACCCAGGCCGCACCGTCTTCATAGGTGAGAGCTCTCTTCACGCTCGCGATTCCCTTCCCTCGTTTAGTCGTTTATGGGTGAGTTCGTAGGATCCCACAGGGTTTTAGGATTATTCTAGTTCGAGCCCAATCAAGTTGTGTGCGTTTGTTTTGGTTAGAAGTCTTAGAGTTGGGTGATTTTGCTAGATCTGATTGCGTGAGCAATTCAGTGTATATTGCGTGATTTGCTTGTTCTGCGTTCTGCGCTCTCACCCAGCAAGCGTACACGGGTGCTTCTAGCGGGGTAATAGTTGGTTTGTGATTTCTGATGATTTCTTTGGTGCACTGCTGATTATGCATTTCTGATGCCGGTGTCACTGACTCAGCGGTTAGTGTCGATTATGCATTTCTGATGCCAAATGCCCGCGTCGATTATGCATTTCTGATGCCAAATGCCGGTGTCACTAACTCACTAGTTAGTGTTAAGTAGCCTCGACTATTGATTTGCCGGATTTCTGCTGTTTTGAGGCGTTAGGCATTTGTACTTTATATGCTTAAGATAAGATTCCTGGTTTTGCCACTGTTGCTGCTATGTCTGTAGACTAAAGTTTCTGATTCTCTGTTTCAATGCAGCTGTCATACCTTGCCAATTGATTTGTTATAAAACTTTTTATTCCTAAACATTTGGCAATGCTCCTGCTTATCTTACAGAAAGAGCTGTGATATCCTGTTAGGTTGCTTGCCATTTTGATTGCCCACTGATGACTAATGTCCACATAATCAAACTGTCAGCAACTACAGGACTTCTGAATTTTAATTACTACTCCCTCTGTTTCAAATTGTAAATCGTTCTTTTCTAGGTACATAGCTTTTGCTATGCACCTAGATATACATTGTGACTAGATACATAGTAAAAACTATGTACTAGAAAAGCAAGAACAACTTATAATTTGGAATTGAGGGAGTAAATATTAGTGTGATATGATGACATCATATATATGTATATTTGGACAATTGTCGTTTTAAATTATACATGTTACTGAACTAGCCTGTTCTGGACATATGGAGCTCTCCTTTTGCGCTTTTATTTAAATTTAAAACTGAGTGTCTCTGTGTTGGGTGGCTTTGCTACTTATTAGAACATTATAGCTAAGATTGTGTTTCTGTTTTAAAGATATGTTGCCATGTTCTCTGGACCATCTGGGCAGCTGTGTTGGCCCAGTTAGTATTTAGCATGCTTTATTAATTCTACAACTGTTTATTTTCTTAATAGGTAACTTGGATGAAAAGATATCTGAAAGAGTCTTGTATGAGATTCTTATTCAGGCAGGCCATGTAGTAGACCTACATGTACCCAGTGACAAGGAGAGTAACAGTCGCAAAGGTTACGCTTTTGCTGAGTATGAAACTGAGGAAATCGCGCAATACGCTGTTAGGCTTTTCTCAGGACTTGTTCGGATCAATGGTAAAGCGCTTAAGTTCGTGGTAGGTTTTCATTTCTATCTAGGTACATTACTTGTGTATAATATTCTGTCAACATGCATTACTTGTGTATAATATTCTGTCCACTTACATTACTTGTCTATAATTACAGGACCACTGCTTTTACCTAGCCACCTAGCTATTGTATAATGACAGTTCTTACGTTATTTGTCATACTATTTGCAGAAATATTAAAATTTGCCTCAAATCCCTAGTTTCTTCCATCTCCTTCAAATCATGTGTAACCTGTTACATAGTTATCTTTATGTCTTAAAATATAACCAGGCTCAGACATCTATTTTCTTGTTACGTTTTTGCAGATTGCTGGTCATGACAAACCGTCTTCAAATGGCAATAACTCAGTAATGCTCAATCATGTACCCTCTTCAAATGGCAATAACCCAGTAATGCCTAAGCTCAACCCTATACCGTTACCAAAACAGACTCAGATCATGCATTGTAGTGATATGCCTGTGTCTCGTACCCCAGCATATCCGGTGGTAAACCAGGAGGATTGGAGGTTATGGTTTTTCTCCCACTCCTTATCCATATGGTTTTCACCCACAAGGTGAGATACTTTCCTGAGCCTGTTAATACATGTTCCAAACTGCACAGCTATTAATGTAAACTTGATCATCGTATCTCTCCTCTTTATGACCAGCTTTATCAGGTGGACCAGTACACAACCATGGCCAGGTAAGCAACAGTATATATGATTACAATAGGCAGGGATTTGGTTCTGTTCTGAACATTGTCCATAGAGGTCCTGTTATGAATGCCTTTGCCCATGGAGCTGCGAATCAGCCAATCATGTACCCATCCTAGGTGCAGAAGAATGTAGTATGCTGAGTTTAGGCAGGTTCCACATAGGTTCTTGACACCTCAATATTTTGGTAACTTCTAGATTGTAGTACCTCGTAGTCATGCTCAAGCATGTAAATATGGTTATCATATCCTCTAGATCTTCAGAAGAACGCTGCATTATCCTTGAAGGCGAAAATCCTGTCCTGTTGTGTTCTCCATTGTCCCAACTCTGAAGCCAGCAGATGTTACTTATAAAAAGAGAGTGAAGTACTATGTTATGTTTGTGCCAGCCACACTAATGAATCTAACTTGTTCGGGTTGGATTGCTGGAAAACAGAAAGTTCCTGAATGTAGACATGCCCATTTAGTTTTTGTGTTGACATTGCAGACTGAAAGCGTACTAAATGACAAGAAAACTCAGTTGCAGTCTGGCTCTTAATATTTTAATTCTTGCATGCACTACTTATGCGATGGTTCTGTGTCATCTTTCACTGCTAGCAAGATCTTAGTTGGCATTTGGCCTTTATTTTTTGAGTTAGGTGAGGCGGATTGATGAGATTGCCCGGTGAGGCGGATTGACTTTTGTTTTTATTTGGCAAAAAAATCCAATTATGGACTATTTAGGCTTAAATTATGGCTCTCACGCACTATTGCTCACATTTCTGCTAGCTGTGTAATTAGTTTTGAATGATGTGACGGAGAATCTTGAAAATTTTTGGTTTTTGGCTTGGAACTAAACGGGGCCTATATATCCTGTTTTTATGTTTGACGAGTCTGATAGTTTCTTTTATTAGTGCAGTTCCACCTTTCATATTATAGTTTCTTTTATTAGTGCAGTTCCACCTTTCATATTATGTGTAACACTCGTATACCTTTCATCTTATAAGTGTCAAGGTCATTGTCCGAACTACCACCAACTAAGCTTGTGCTAAGTGATGACAAGCAACCTGTCTTCTCACCGTTGCTTCACTAACAATAGCATCCATTATTCTGTTTCGAACCTACTAGCCTACCAGCATCCTCGTAAGAAAAAAAAAACTCACCTGACCCAAAATTATTTTATTCTGGAACGAGAACTGCCTACAGAGAACTAAACTCTACCATCGTTCTGTGCACCTTGGAGGCTTCTCCAAGGTCAACCACACTTCAAGCCATGAATCAGAATGGCATTCCTCCTCTCAAGTAAGGTTACTTATGATGCACCCCAGCTCCTCTACTGACCCAGCACCTAGGGCTTCTTTGCTTCTCTCCTTGTGTATACCTTGGCCACCAAAGCATATCATCTCTGTCGGTCTTATCCCATACTCCTTTCCGGTGCGGCTGAAACCATTTTCTGCACAAGTACTGCAACTCCCGGTTGCAGCAGCTTTCTTCTGCACCGCTTCTGCCCCTCAACCTTTTTGCGTCGCAGCAGCAGCAGCCTTTGCACCTCGGACCGATTTGAAGCTGTCCTCTTTACAGCCTTAGCGACCGATGCCACAGCGACTCATGCACGAACAAGAGCACCTGTTCGTCAGCCTCGACTAAGCGTGCACGACCTCGCGGCACGCGCCGATGGAGGTGGAGGCCGACGGGACGCAGGAAGCCACCGCTGGCGCAGGAGACGGCGGCGTGCACGACGTCTTCTTCTGTGTCGCCGCGACGTCCAGGGGCAACAGGAACAACATCTCCTGCTTCCATACCAATGCGGTCGGCGAGGACGCCAAGTCGGCCCTCGCGCTCGCCGCGCTCTGCCTCGGCCACGCCCCAGAGCACCACCGGTGGCACCACCACACCGTCGACGGGGCGAGGACGTTCGCGTTCCTCTCGGCCGACGACGGCTGCACGTACTTCGCCGCGGCCGACCCGACTCCTGGCGCCGCCGAGGTGGTCCGGTTCCTGGAGCGCGTCCGCGACGCGTGCGACGCCGCGCCCAGGAAGCGCCTGCGCGACGAAGCGGTGGCCCCCGTCGCGCGCCAGTTCGCGAGGACGCTGCTGCGGACCGCGGCGGGTCCGAGCTCCGGAGTGGCGGACGCGGAGCTTCCAGGAGCATCGCTGCAAGATCAGGAGCCGAAGGACGAGGACCACCAGCGGGCTGGAGAGCGACGTCGCGCCTTGCAACCGGGGGAAAACGCGCTTCCGGGGTGGCGCCACGCGGCGGTCGTGATCGTCGTGGATGTGGTGCTGTGCCTGGTGCTGTTCGCCGTGTGGATGGGGGTGTGTAAAGGCTTTAGGTGTCTGACGCGATGAATCGCTCAAGCGTATGCAATTGTAATCACAAATATCACATCCATGCTGTGCATGGTTTGCGTTCTTTGTGTTTGCTTGTCAAATATCACATCTACAATTTGTAAAAGATCGATTTAGAAACGAAGACTCATGCCTTCAACAATGCACTAATTCATCACTCGAGCCGGGACTCAGCCCTGCACGTTTGCAAAATGCAGAAAAGTTGCAAGTTCATGCATGGCAAGCATCACATGTTCTTCGACAAAATCCGATGCACGCATGTGAAGTAACTCCAAAACAGAGATGTGGTAAATCAGTGCCTTCTGATTTCTGAAATACGACTCAACCTAGGTTTGTCTTAAATAAAATTATTTCAACTTTGGCTTAAATCAATGTCTAAAAAGCAACTACCCACACACAACTATAGAAAGAAGGTTGACAATATTGAATTATTTATGAAAAAATTAAGTTCATAATATACATTTGTCATCTTAGATAATATATTTTCTATACATATTAGTAGTCCAAGTAAAGAGAATTGACTTAGGGCAAACTTTTATGAACTTATATTTTCAATAGGAGGAAGTACATAGAGATAAGAGCTGTCATGTACTCACTCCGTCCTGAAATATAATTCATTCAATGCGATGCCTATTTGGCAAAGATTATTAAAAAAGAAACCATAATTTAAGAAAAAAAAACTTCTTAATTGGGTTTAATCTATGGTTACATGTGTTATTTGAGTAATTTCTAAAATGCGTTATATTAAAGTCTAGAGAGAGTATACTTATTGACTTCTTGTTTGCTACACTATGCTAGCATCCAGGCATGTCCACGAGAGACTGTTCTCTCTTTATCTGTTCCTCTCTCTTCCACGTAGGATAAAGGCTACTCCATCTGTCCTAAAATAAGCATAATTCTAGGATTCTTTAGAGAGATTAATGTTGTAGGGAAATAAAATATGTGCCCCTACAAAAATGTGTCCTTATATGTAATAATTGTGCTCTGAAAACCTACTACTTCTAGGTGGATCAAGAGCTAAATTTATTATGGGACAAATTTTGAATTATAGAACTGCACTTGTTGGACGGAGGGAGTAAGGTGGAATCACTATGGAGAGCTGACATGGCACCATTGTGTGTGCCCTTAATATTACATGTTATCAAGATTTTAAAAAGTTATAATATCTCATCCATTCTCTAATATTGACGTTAGTTACTTATTTTGAACTATAAACATACTCAAATATTAAAGAACGGAGGTAGTAAGATATAATTGAATGCTTGACTGCTTGTTATGAATCTATTCATGTCATTCTGAAAGCCTATGTGCATGCGTTCATGCTGACCACAGTCGCATTGGGACAGCCACGCGCATAGAATGATGTAACTGCTCTCACTGATGTGATCATGCCTTGTGGTACATTTGCAATGCTCCGGAGAAACAGAGATACAGCGTGCCAAACAGCAGCCTGAGATTGCCTTGTCTATTGGTTTTCAGATGTGAACCCGACAATGGTATCTGAAATACACTGGAACATTGATATGGAATTATGGATGGAGCTGGCGTCCCTGCCGCTGTTGCTTGCTTCAGTTCCCGGTTCGTTCGGGCTTATTTAGCTCATAAGTCATGACTGAAAGTACTGTTGACTGATTTGTTGTGAGAGAAAAATACTGTTCGTTGACTTATAAGCCAAACACGACCAAGCGAACAGGCTGTTAAGCACGGCCAGAAGCTAGGACAGTGTGTCCTTGTGCAGCTGTGCAACGCAGACTCTCTAGCGCTTTTAGGTATTGCAGGATTGCAGAAGCAGCGTCAGCATAGGAAATTTGTTAGTCAGTACAGCTCCCGCTTTATTACCTATTTTTTCTCGGTTAGAACACTTCGGTCCCGTTCGTTTTAATGAAAAAACAAACCGAAACACTGTTCCGGCTGATTTGTTGTGAGAGAAAACACTGTTCCAACTGAAAAAACAAACTGAAAAAGACGGATTATAAGATAAGCGAACAGAACCGTATACCAGCACAGAAACATGGACCGGTTTGATAGCGTACGTTTCGAAACAGAGAGAAACTCTGAAAATTCCTCTTTGACTAACACCATTTTTTGTTGTAACGCAGTACTATGATAACTATTGGCTACAATCAGCTTTTTTTTAGGGGAATTGGCTACAATCAGCTGCTTCTGTTGCAGTGTGTACTCGGCGATTCAGAGAGTTAGTAGTAGGAAAGTTTGCTTGGGCCATCGTGATGGTTAGTACTGTAAGTTTGCTTGGGCCACTTGCGGCCTATCAGGCCCAGATGCAGACAATCTTTTCCAAGGCAGAGTGGTTGACGAATGGCGATCGGTCCAGTCGAATTCCAATCCAAGGCTCGCAGTCACACCGAACCAAGAAAGAAAAGTGGTAGAAAAATATCTCCCTCTTTACATTAACAAACGAAAAGAAACAACAAAACCCTACGGAGTAGGTGCCTAATGGCCTACGTATATGACCCCGACAGGAGATCGGAATCCACTTTGCTGTCCTTGGTGCCAGCAGCGGCTCGTCTTTCCTGGAAAAAGACAGAGAAAAAAGATAAAGAACGTAGTACTACTACTGTCTTTCTGCTGCCAAACTCGTAGCAATATGTATTATAACTAATGGCTGATGATCACTTAAGCATATAATTAGCACTAGCTAGTTGCCGCTGTCGTCACTTTGCAGCACCAGGGTCAAATTACTTGTGAACATAGAAGTAGCATCTTCACTTCATTGCTTTACTAGCAGTCGGCAGAGAGCAACAGAGCATGACACGGCAGCATGCATGCTCTCGGGGAGTCTGGATCCCTTCACGCGCGGGTGCAATGCAAGCAAGCAGAGCAACGTCGCTGCAAAAGGCTGGGCGTTCCAGGCCCCCGTTTCGGCACGGGCACGGGCACGGGCACCGCCTTTGTCCGGGCCTCCGGGGGGCGTCGGGCCTTCTTCCCCCGTCACATGCGCCCATCATGATCCAGCGGCTGCTTCACCTTCAATGCCGGCACCTCGGGCAGGCGGCAGCGACGTCATGGGGACTCATGGTGCTCCTTGGCCACACGGCAGGAGGACGGCCGCCTCCTGAATGCTGATCGATGTTGCCGCTGAAAGTCTTTGCCTCTTTGGTGCGGTGTGTAACTGAAGGGTGCAGAGCACGGGCTGCAGCTTGTTGCACCCCTGCAG